AAACTCTTTAAAATTCCCTTTTTCTGACTCTTTTATTATGTAACTGATGGACAGATACTTGCTTCAGGTAAACAACATATGCCCTGTTTATAGCACGCAGTGCAAATATTTCCCAGCGTGTTTATTCTGAGATTCTTGCAGTGCACGGACAGGAAGGGATTGCAGAAGGCGGACGCCAGCTACGCTCCTTTCCAAAGCCCCGTGTGGAAGCAGCTGTGCGATCAGCTGCACCTTTGCTGGATGATGGATTCCACCTTGGAAGGCCTGAGGTAGCAGGGGTGGGGAAGAACGAAGCTGTGCATCTGCCTGCACAACAGTACCATGGCGAACGTGCAGGATTGGGAGAGTTTGGTACGATTTTATTCAATAAAACAGGAAGTTTCAGCTCTAGTTCCAGCTCCTGGAGTCAGGAAGGTGGTATTCCAGCACCAGCCAAGACATAAAGCTATTTTCAAATAGAATAAGAATATATATATATATACACACACACACACACACACACACACACTGATGGTGAGCATGCTGTGATAATGTAGAATTAATTCACCTTCTAATCAGCCTCACCATCTTAAATCCCAGAGACGAATTTGACCCGAATGTCACAAATTGCTGCACACTGAACCTACCAGATCCCATCACTGAGGATTCCGAGTGACCCCAGCGCCGGCAGCGCCGCACAGGGCGGCGGCGACGCACAAATCCCGGGATAACAAAGGAGGAATGTGGGCATTGCCCGGGGTCAAGCAGCGCTGCAGACCCCCCCGCCACGGTCCCGGACACAGCCCCCTCTGCGCTGTCCGGTAGACTGAGCACCCGGCTTGATGTAACGAGCCTGTCAGAACGGGATCAGAGCACGATCTGCGCCCTGCTGCTCTCCTCGCGCGCAGTGCGCTGCTGCTTCTGTAGAGCTTTTTTAATGGAGTGGTTTTTCCTTATGGAAGGCCAAACCTTTGAGCCCCGACACCAAGATTAACAGCGGGCTCCTCGCTCCTCCTCCTCCCTAGCACAGGGACCCGAGTCAGGCCGCTGTCCCTCCTCAGGACGATTCGCAGGAACATTTTGCACATTCAGATTCACATGATTCGGAGGCTGAGTCAGCCTCACAAGGCCAGAACGCCTCAAGTTCTGTCTCCTTTTCCTTATTTTTACCGGGTGTTTCTCAACTCTTCCACCCTGTGACCCCCAGTTACACGGGAAAGAAAAGCAGCTGCGTGCAACCCACGGCGTGCACGGGGCTGCCAGCAAGAACCTGCTCTTTGGTCACACGCAGCAGAGCCCCAACACCAGAAATGATCCAACACCCCAACTCAACAGGAGGGGTTTTGAAAGGGAAAATGTTTGTGGTGAGCAGAGCTAAACAGACCTCACGGTTAAGAGAAACCACTGACTGATAATTCTAACCAAAATGTCCTCAGGAGGCCAACTGGCCAACTGCTTAGTTAGAAACGCCAAGGGAAAAGAGAAGATAGGGCGACAACACAAAATTTAGTGATGCCGGGAGTATTATCTACTCAAAACAAATGTTATTCAATATGAGAGACAAGAGATTATCCAAGTAAATCATCAGCCTCCTTTCAAGACATGGAATTTGAAATTAAATACAAAGTGAGGCTTTGAATCTAAAGCAAATCTTAAAATGATTATAAGGCTTTTAAGGGTAAATGAAATCTTTTTGAAGAGACACAGAATGGGAAACACTACATTGACTTTGCTCAAGATTGTTTCCATTTGTGCCCATCAAAAATCAGGCATGGGCAGGGGACCAAACTGAAACCACAGATTAAGGCCAAGGGTGGTTTAGTTTAGTTCAGAAATGAGTTGGTTTTATTGGCCTCTTCCATTCACAGAGGGCGAGTGGTTCTGCACCTACCTGCAGCAGGATAACAGCACTTGAACTTGACCTGTATCTATGGAAAGAGTGGAGCTGAAAAATACACCCCTAAAATATAACTGTTTTCCTGGTCTACATGGAGCTCTGACGCTGGAGATTGTCCATTACCCGGGAGGCGGTTAGTACTGAACAAACAAGCACTTCACAGCGAACCCAAAGTTCGCCTGCACTCATTGCAATAGCTAAAACACTCTGCACAGGCCCATGCTGCAGATATAACAGCAGCAAAAATTATTAATTTCTGCAAATCCTCATGAACGCAGTGGGAACCCTTCACTCTGCTGGCAGAGCATCTGCTAGAAGACTTTTGGATGAAAGACATTGAACGCTGCAAGAGCAATATTGGGGAGAAAAGCAGTCAAAAGCTGCAGGTATAGTATTAGCTCAAAGAATTCACCGACCTTGGCCTTGGGTCATTTCTTAGACTAAGTAGCACTGAATTTTGGGACAAAACAAATGCTCCCTGCATCGCTGCTACTTAATTACATAACTGAAGTGGTGCAACAGCACCTCTACCTGCTCCAGATGGAGAATCCGTTCCAGGGCTGCACCACGCAACTGCAGGTCCCTTAGCGAGGACTCGGAAATACCTGCACTGCTCACAGCAGGATCCATACGCCAACACACGCAGCAGCGGCAGAATCTCTTTTTTTCCTTATGCTACAGAACAAAACAAACACAGAACGGTTAGAGAGAACAGGGAATCTGCAGCCAGGCACCGGTTTGGAGCTGTCAGCAAGTGCACAAGACTGTTGTTGTGCTGGGCAATGCCAGGCAGTTCACACAGTGCCCACGAGAGCATCTGGAGGCAGATGCATTAACTGCATCATGCTGCAACCAAGGTGCAAAACACAAGTGGGGTCAGTAAATGTGCTCTCCTGTTAACTTTTACCTACTAAATGTCTCTGAGGCATCTTTGTGATTAAACGGGGTGCTGAATGCAAGCAGAATCCTAGCAGAAATAAATCCCTTCCAGTAGTTACTCTAATAATTTTAAAATTAATCTTAATTAATAAAAATCCACAATTTTTAAGACATTGATATTCATGAGCAACACACAAGCAAAACAAAATCCAGGCTTCATCAAAGCAACTATGGGGAAATGCTGCTGGCTGACACTTGCTTAGAACTGCCTTAATAAAGGTTGGAACCTTCTCCATCTCATCCGGGATGGACGAGGAGGGACTGGCCGGGGATGGGGACACGCTGGTGGGAGCTGCTGGAAGGACCAGGCTCGCCCTCTGCTGCCCAGCAGCAATCGAGCTGCAAGGTCCCCCGTCACCCCCGGCAAGGCCAAGGGACCACACAGCCCCAGGAACAACCGCTACCACACACAAAAAATAGGATTTTGTAGGAAAACAGCTCAAACCTTCAGCAAGAGGTTTCTTGGCTTGCTCTGCACGCCCAGCCCCTAATGCACATGATGGCAAAGCAGTCTGGAGAGCGGGCCAGTACCTGAAGTGACATCCACCTAAAGATTTAGTGTATGGACTGCCTGAATTCTTCTTGTCTTTCCTCTTAAGGCCCACAGGTAAAATTGCTGGAATATATATGGCAAAATAGAAAGACTACTGCTGGCTGAGAGGCATCCAAGGCTCAAGTCACACTTCTTTTGCAGGACAGGCTAGGGGAAACCAACTCTGTGCTCTTTCTTAACAAGATGATTTAATTCTTTAGATCCTTCCCTTAATTCTTTAGATCTCTCCCTTACCTGAGAGGTAGCAATGCTAAAATCTTACCTGCCAAACCGCTCGGCCAAAAGCCGACTAGCGTCCTGAGGGAAAACTTAGGTAGAGAAAGGAATTAACCTCAAACCTAAAGGGTCCTGCAAAAGGTAAATACAGTTTAATGCCTTGCTAAAGGTAACACAGAACAACCACAGAGTACCTTAGAAGAGCAGAAAAATTACGCAAGTCACGTTTCTGGGTTATAAAAGCCCTTTTATAAAGCCATTTTTAAACAAAACCAAAAAGTTTACAAAAGAAAATAAAAGATACAGAAGAATGAGTTGCTTAATATATTCCAAAAGGGAGAGAAAAATAAAAGAGGGGACACAATTGCAACATGCTGAACAATAAAGGGTTCTTTTCCTTGTGTTTTCTTTTTTCTCTTTTTTTAATACAAAATACAAGCGAAGGATACACATACTTAAAACAGAGCTCAGGAGCAGGTATGCAGTCCTGGGAACCCTTCAATAAAAGCAAAGCGGGTTTTTTTTCTTTTTTCTTTTTTTTTTTTCTTTCTTTGCAGGTACATACAGAGACTGGAATATGTAAAATTAAGTAGCACAAAAGACCATCACACAACTCTACCAATGAATGTTGCATCTATAAACTCACGAACATGGTCAACAAAGTCATGTTCACTTCAACCCCTTAAAAAAAAAAGTTTTTTTTTTAAATTTTATGTTAAATAAAGCATTAATGTTACATTCAAACTCAACTCCTAGTACCATGCTGAAGATGTCAGTGTTGTCAAGGTATTGCAGGAGGGGTCGGGCCCAGCGGGGATGGCCACGTCCACACACTGGTCGCGGGCCAGCAGGAACGGGACCCTCATCTGCAGCTGCCCCTTCCTCTGACCACGCTTCAGATTGAAGCTCATCAAAACAAAAAAGTGGGGGAACAGGGAAACGGGGACTGCAAAGGGCCTGATTTTTGAGAAACCTCTGCTGAGGACTGCAAATACTCAAGACAATTATTCACTGCATACCACCCAATGCTGCCTTGCTGATAGCCAGGGGCCAAGGCCCTGCCTCGAGTCTCTTCCTCCTCTAAAATCAACTGCTCAGGGTTTGCTGTGACACTATGTTCATGGTTAAACAAAATTATGTCGCTCTTATTTACATTTTTTTTGTAACAATTGCTTCTGCAGGAGAAAAAAATAATAAAAAAAAGTAAAACACCAATTTTTCAGAACGCAAAGGGAATAAGACGGCAGACACTCCCACGCGCGCACCCACTCGCGCCTCGCACACAAAACACTGCAGGGGCTTTTGCAGACAATATTCCAGCTTAAGCTCATGGAGGATTTTGCCATCCCACCCGCTACCCCCTCCCCAAAAATATATATAAAAATCCCTGGCCGCACTCTATAAAGCATACGCACAGGGGCTTTGCAGTCGCGCTCGGCATGCCCAGGCTGGCGGGACCGCTCGCGTCGCTGCAGCCCAAGGGCGCAGGCGCTTTACGGGGTCCCTGCTAGCGGGGGTGGCTACAGAGCCAGCCCGCGACGAGAACTTGCCTAGACTTCGAAATAGTCACGTTTTAGTTGGTAATATAAAGAGTTTAATGAAAAAAGACATTCAGGTGCCAGTTATGTACTGCCGTGGGGAGCCGGGAAGGAGGGGATGCTTAGTTTGGGGGACACTGGGCTCGTGGAAGGACACTGTCATCTTTCCAAACTCATATTCTTCACAGTACGTTAAGAAAAAATAGTCACCATGGACAGCACGAATGAGAGAGCTTTGCTTCCCGGCTTCATGCACAGACCTTGCATTTAAACTTGCCCCACACTCCAGAAAAGCGCTCAAAGTTGAAGGAAAATTTGATCTTTTTGATCAAAATACGATCTTTTTGATCATAAAGATTATGTATTTGCAGCACCGCGTCCCTTCCAACACCCATCCGGCTGTGTCTCCGGATCCCGCCGCCCCGACAGACCAGCACCCATCTCTCCAAGACCGAAACTCCTGGATCAGTCTGTGGCTTTTAAAAGCTATGTGCTCAACAATATGATCTGTTATAAAAATAAACGCTTCACAAACAAGTTACACAGAGCAAAGCACCGGTTTCTACAGCTCCAAAGCTCCCAGCCTATTAACTTCCCTCCTCCAGCTGGGCGCCTCAGTGTTAATGGGATTTTAGTGACCCTCCCCAAGGGGGTGGCAGCGGAATCTGGGAATTGGGAGCAGGGGCTGAGCAACCCGGAGCCCTTCCCTGGCACTGCGGCCATTCCCGAGCAGCGGGGCACAAGGGGCACCGCTCCCACCCGCTCGTCTGCTTTCAGGAGCTATTTAATGACAACAAAATCAAGGGTTTCTCCCTTGCCCCGCTGCTGAATCTTGCTCTCACCTACACTGCATCCGGGAACCCACGGAGCTCAACGGGATGGGCGTTCTTGTGCTGCTCAAACGGCAACTGAAGTCATCGTTAATAAGAAATCCCAAGTAATTGTTTGCTGATCAAGCCTTGCGGTCAGTTAAAAGCAGCATGAACCGCCTATCAATCTTAAACAATGCTGTGGAGTGGCTTGGGAAACAGAATGTACAAGAGGACGTTGAATGGAAGTCAACGCGATAAAATCCCAGGTGAAGAGGGAATCTAGGGCCCTGCCCCGGGCTAACTCGACTCTGGAATAAATCCATTTACCTCTCCGCAAAGGCTCCAAAGCTACAGCTGGGTAACAGAAGAGAATCCTTTCAAAGTCGCCTCCTGTGAACGAAACTTCCTGCTCTGCGAAGAACTAGTCATTGCTCCTAAAGAAAGGCGTTTTGTACAGCTTTCCTTCGAGGAATCAGAAGGCTTGATACAAACGAATTAAAAAGGACATTTCAAAAAAGGTTAAGTCTGCCACTACTGAAAAAATGTTGCTGGTACAAAAAATAAAAACCAAAAATAAGAGACACCTTCACAATTTTCTTCAACCTGTAAAAATGGAAACTTTTGTATTTTTAACAGAGTAATTGAGAAAGAGACCATTTGGGCTTAGTGTTTGCGAAGATCAGCAAAACAATCTGATATAGAAAAACCTTACAAAATCCCAGGAAGGGTACAGGATTTACATAGCGTTGAGTTGTGACACAAGCTAAAAAATAAGCTTCATGCATCCTGTAACTGCTGTTAGAGAAGAACATAGGAGAAAGCAGAATAGTTTTACAAGATATAGGGTCAAAAACGCCAGGCGTAAAGTAATTCAGTCCAAAACTCGAACTGAGAACAACGGAAAGATTCTTCCACAGCCTGAACATTAATGTGTTAGAAAAAAATAATATATATAATATATTAAGTGGAACTTACAAAACACTCTTCAGAAAAACTCTGGTCCAGCAGGTAAAGGAACAGCTGTTTGACCAGATCAGCTAGAGGTATTCTCTGTTTAAGCAATCCTTGTATATTTTAATAGCAAACTAAGAACCCAATAGACAATAACAGCTCAAAAACAGCATCTGGACTGAAGGGGAATAATTATGTGGAGCAGACACTTAGGAAAGTTTATGGTGCCCCCCTCCCCAAATCAGTCCAAACATTATTCAAAGTTTGGCCATTGCTTTTCCCGTATCACCCAAGAAGCGCAGGACTGAGAGTGCAGGAAAGGCAAGACTCTGCTTTCCCGGACGTGTGGAAGTTGGGAAGAGGTGGAAGGGAGCAGGGATTACATTCACTTCTTGTTCAAGACTTGTACTTCAGCTTTAAGCTGTTCTGCAAAATTCAACCGCTTAAAAAATAAAATTTACAATGGAAACACCGATCATCTTTATTGTAACGGCAACAGTAATTTCATAGTAAAGAATGTTAGAGAACTTAAAAATCTGTATAAGCCAAGATAAGGTATTTACCAGCCTCTGTAAAATCCACGGCTATGAATCACACAAGACATTCACTTGGCTGTTATTAATATTTCACTGCATGTTTGGGCTTCACACTGCGCTCAGTATCTTCAGGCTCCCTATGCTGTTCAGCCAAGCATCCTTCCCGCTTGTATTAGTGTATCATCACATCTAAAAGCTCTTTAAAATCCAAACAGGATTAAAAATCTGGTAGCAAGTGCACCAGAAATCCAACTAATTAGCTGCCTTATGTTACCTTCGAGAGGCTGGTTACAAAGCACATGTAGTTCAGTGACAAGGAGGGGGGTGGGAAAAAAAAAAAGACGCAAAGCTTGTCAACTATGAGATAACTGTGAGCAACGTACAGACAGCAAAAGGGTTTCGGGAAAAAAAGAAAGGAAAATGGCAGGTCCAGTTTTTAATATTTCCACCAACAAACATGGCAGCAACCTCTGCATTAAGGTTTGAAAACCAAAGCATGGGTATTTGATGTTTTTTAAAAAAAGGATATGGCTGCTTTGATAAAAAACACATAAAACGCCACTGCACAATGTGAAGTATCTTGCATTCAGAGGGACGTCCTGCTTTTGTTACGAAACTCTAGCCCTGTCCTACTTGTTCCAAACCTCGTTTCCTCCCAGCTTCATCCATATAATACTGTTCCCTTTGCAGCCCTTTTCAGGCTTAGGGAGCAGAACAATGACCAGAGAGACGCGGACATGCCGACGTGGGGCAGGATGAGCAGAGCCCCCCGCGCTACGGGGAGGAAGGAGGAAGAAATGGAAGTGGTACCGGGTAACATTACCACCGAGGGCAATCTGCTGTCCAACACTGCAGCTGGAGAACGTGAGCGGTACCGAGCACAGACCCTTTCTGAGCACAGGCAGAGGGAGAGAAGAGAAACACTAGAGCGTAACTCGTGGCATCCGAGACCGACCAGAGCATTACAGGAATCCTCTGCTCCAAACGGATAAAAGGACATCCCTCGCCCCAAAGGCTCCAGGATTTAGCTCTGGGCTATCTATTGAAGTTGCTCCTCAAAACATCTTCAAAGAAAATCCCTGTAACACCAAATGGAAACCAGAATTTTGAAATGTTTTCAATTTCTCTTCCCTACTCTGCCCATCTACAGCCAAGCTTCCAAGAAATAAAATAGAAGTGATGGATATGAGCAGCTGGCAGACTGTACATGTGAAAGTGTATAGGATGAACTGTAATTGGCTTAAAATTGGAATGGTAATCTATCCAAAGACAAAAAGATCTTCCACCCTAGTTGGACAGTCTTTTCTAAATAGAGTGGCCCACCTACAAGTTTCCTGCATGTTTTCCATGAAAAAAATCATATTAACTAAAGAAACATAGGGTTGCTCCCCATGTTTCCTCCTCCTCAATTCATAGTAACTACATTTTTCTGAGAATAAACTTGTATGAACAAAAATCTGTTAAAGCACAGGTTCATTTTTCTCCCCATATTCAGATAAGGAATAATAGTTTTAAGGAATTCTTACCACCACTGGCAAATCTATTCTACTTAACAATTTGTAAATATGGTTTCCACGTATCAGTCTCAAACCTTATTGCTTCACAACTGCAGTACCCCTTGAAAAAAATATATATTTAACCGGTCTGTTAATTTGTCTTAAATGGCTTTCAGATTTGGTGGGGGAGGGAGAACGGAATGGCCAACAGAGAACAGTGACTTCATAATATTACTGTATAAGGGTTTCCTCTTATTAAAAAAAGGATACACTGTATTAAACAGCTGAAAGTAAAGACAGCATTCAAAGCCCATGAGTCAAGCCACAGCCAAAACCGTGTTCTACCCCTAAGTATGTTTTCTTTTCCTTTTTTTTTTTTTCTTTTTTTTCTTTTTCTTTTTTTTTTTTTAAACAAAGATTTCTTCAACTGCCATCTAATCTTCCCCAGAGGGTGCTTCATCTTCAGAGCCCTCGTCCCCTGACTTCTCTGGCGGAGGGCTGGCTGCTTTTTTCTTTTCCGGGGGGCTTTCGGGCTCTTCATCCTCTTCTTTGGGGGATGGGGTCTTTTCTTTCGTTGCCTTGGAAGCTGTAGGGCGGCCTGCTTTGCCTTTGCCTTTCACTGGACTGGGGGTCACTGAAAAAGGGGAAAAATAAACCAATAAAGGTTATGGTTTGCTAAAGAGACAAAAGCTACGCAGCTTTACACAAGCAGGATTTGCACGTGAGTGGCAGTTCTCATTTTGCTTTGACCATATCAAACGCACGGCATTCCCTGCATTCCCCATTATCCAAGCTTAACTGAATGAAAACCAATGATTAGTGCTGCTTAATTGCAAGTCCTGACTCATTATTGGACACGACTTCATTAACAATCAGAGCTGGCCTCTCAAACCAATATGAACGACTTTATTATCATTTTAGATTTCCTGCAAGAAATGCACCCAAACTACCGTTGTTTCAAGTTTCTTCCCCCCACCCCTAGACTGAAAATGTGTGATGGAGACCAAGAGCCTGAAACAAAACTATGGGTAATATTATTCGGATATGATGTGTAAAAAGCTAGACTGTAATGTTAGAGCAGAGAAATTTGTGCAATCTTTCCCTCCCCCCTCCAAAGAGAGGCAATTCAATCTGTTCATTAGCTACGAATTAAAGCCATTTTACTGTTTCCTAGGGTTGCTTTAGTCCATCGCAAGCTACATGAGCTGGCCCTTGAAACTATGTGACTGCCTACTGGTCCCCAAGACTCCCACCAAGTCTTAGCAGAAAAATAAAATACTGGTTTCAAAAGCAAACTGCCTGGTTTCCATGGACGCACCTGTAGCCTTTAGCCTGGGCTTTGGCATTTTCTTTTCTTTCCTTTCTGGTTTGGACTTCTTGGACACCTTTTTGTTTTTCTTTTTTGAACTGCCATAGTCACTATCATCATCGTCTTCCATGAGGAAGTCTTCATCACTTCCCGAATCTTCAGAAACAAAGAAATTAAGTTTGTGAAGAAAAGTTCCTCATTCACTTGGAGACAAGCAGAAAAAAAATATGGCTGAGATCAATAGGTAGACCGAGAAGACATGAAATTGGAACTATAACCTGGTAAACTTCCACATAGCTGCTGTCCAAAGGGATTCTGACACAGCAGGAGGATTCATATTCATAAGTGTAAGCTTACTCTGTTGGACACATATGCTGTAATGAACTCGTTCTCAAGTAGGAGAACTGACACCTGCAGCGCCATATTCAAGACAGTGCCATTTGACCAGATCTATAGTTAATTTTAACTTGTTGCATCTGCCATACAACTCCATTTACTTACTTTCCTGGAACTGTGCCTCATCATCCTCCTGTTCCTCCTCCTCACTCCCCACATCATCCATAAGCATCTCTCGTTGTTTGGAAGCTGCTTTGGACGCTGCCTGTCGCTGCTGACGCACATTTTTGTGGTCTTCTTTCTCATCCTCGCTGTCCTCTGCAACACAAAGCGACCATGTTACGATGAAGACACAGAACACAGATTACAAAACTGCCTTGAGACAGAGTAGACCAAACAAAGGCCAAGTCATACTCGAAAATGCTCGTTGAATGACTGAGTTGTGAGAACACAATCACATGCAACCCAACAAGTCTGTTTCTAGAGACACTCAACACGGCACCTGGGCAGTTATCTTCCATTGCAAAGACTAGCCACACATTTTGAGTGCTATAAACCCTGCCAGCCATCGTGATCCGTATTATTATCCAGGGAATAGTACTAAAGCACTTCTGGTAAATATATGTTTGGTTTCAGAGGTGTTAATCTGAGCTATTATGAAGGATGCTTAGAGGGCACAGCTACAACTTCACACGTAAAACACAGCAGTAACTTCTTTCAAATAGTAAAGAACCAAAGAACTGCCAAAGCGTGTAGCTATGGCCAATAATAGTATTTTCTTCCCCTCTTAACAGTTGAAGAGACTTGCTGAATTATGAGCCACTTTGACCAACCTACTTGACAAAATCTGTGTAATGAGAGGAAGCGCATACACAGTGTGGAACTGCTGCAATACAATATATGTTGTCTGAATATCTGAATACATCAGTCAACAGCCACACTTAACAAATACTGCTCTTTATCATAACTTTCTAAACAAACAAATCAATGTACTCCTTTCTTTACCTGCTGGCCTTTTCCTGGATTTGGAGGCTCTCTTATTCTTATCTGGTTTAACTTTTTTTCCTTTTTTGCTTTTTTGAGAGCTCTCATAGTCACTGTCAGCTTTGCCATCATCTGCTCCTAAGTCATCATCTTCACTGCCAAAATCTTCATCTGGGAAGAAAAGGCGAGAAAGCAAAATTTCTTGAACATCACTCGGTGAAACATAGGGATGAGAGGCATAAGGAAGAGATTAAGAACCTAAGTTTATAGTAATATCTTATTAGACAAAAAGAAAGCCAATATCCCAAACCAGGGCCGGCAGTAAAAGCAGTAGAACTCAGCACCCAGGTTAGATATGCACGCCTTTCTAATTGGCCTAATTTCTGCAACTTGCTTGCAAGCTCCTGCAACTCTCTTGCAAACTCATCTTCACTTTGAAGCTACTCTGGCAGTGAATAGTGGTTAGTTACCTGCTGATTGTGAGTCATCCTTCTTTGTCTTCACATCTTTTTCTTCCGAGTCCTCACTGAAAAGGAGAGGAAGAGAGGGCATGCTTCTGTTTTAATTCTGATTCCAAACACACTACGTGAAATAAACATCAATTTTGAGTGAACGAACGGATTTCTGGGCCATATATACCCTTTCAAGGGAGCACCATTTCTGTTCTTACCCACATCCCTCTTGCTTTTCATTCCCACTGGCTGGAATTACCAAGCACAGAGGGCACTCCTTCCTTCCAGAATTTCAGAACATGCATTACAGCCAATGATCGTCTGAAGCAGCAATGGTGAACCTCTGCTGAAGGCTGCTGATGCACAACGTGCATTTCAGGAACAGTTGAGGTGCCTGTTTCACTAAAGGTCGCACCAAAGCACCACTACTTTCAAGTTTGATAGTCAGAACTGACTAACAGCATTTCAAGAACTTTTAATAGTTTAAGATTTTAACACTAGAGTCCATCAGGACCACTTTTTTTTTCCAGTCTTTTCTTTGTTTTATCAACAATTATAGATTTAAATTATTTGACTATATTACTGTTCCACATGCCATCCCCGTGCAGTGTTCACAGGGCCAACAGAAGTGCTCTCATATACTCAAAAATCTCCAAAGCTGATAGGACTTCAAGGTCAACCATTTAGATGCTTTGGGAGCTCCCCTGCCCAATTTTCTTATGCAAGACCACATCCATAAAATAATGCTTTTTGTAATGTGGGTGTTATCCGAGTTTGCAAGCTCCTCTCTGGCAGTTTAATCTCTGTAAGTGCTGTAAAAATGAAATGCTTAGAATGGCCTAAGCAAACTGCTACAATAATATGCTCAGCACTAAATCTGCCAAATAATGGATGAAACTAGATTTATCCAGAAGAATACAGGTAGACATTTGAAGTATTTGTATATCATCTTGGCATTAAATTCCTATTCATCCTTATTAAATTAGAGAGTTTCAGGAAAGAACTCCTTAAAAAAATCCATTCCACACTTATATCTCCAGGACAATTAAAAGCCAGGGTGAAAACTGCCTCTGCCTCCCAGTTCTCAGGAGCAGGCAGATAGCTCAAATATTCCCAAGCCTCTATTCAGCTTTTGCCTTACAGCAGAGAGACATAAGGGAGGGACCTTCCTAAGCACACCCTGCCAGGTAGTTACCTACATCCACAGGACAAGAGATGCTTGGGTCACATATATAGTAAGAACCAGCTAGCAGAACCTCCATCCCTAAAACTGAGTTTTGTCATAAAAGCAGTCAATTGACTTAATAGGATTTAAAGGAAAAAAAAGTGCTTTATGGTAACGCTAAATTGGTATGTTGTGAAAAACAAGGTATCTTTTACAGAAGTAAGACACATGTACCTGGTATAATAACTCAGTTATCAAAATAAGCTAGTTTGTTTTTGAATTAAAAAAACAGGAAATAATAAACAAACAAATAAAAATCAAAACTAACAAATCACCCCCGCTACTACAGCCAGTGTACTGTCTCAAATAGTTATTCTCAAGAGCAGACTGAATAAAACACAGAAAATATGATGCATCGAGCCACTAACTTACCTGGATAACCCTTGCCCTTGTTGATGGTTTTTTTGCAACTTTAACATATTCTTCATATTCTTTATTACAAGCGTCTAACTCTGGAAAGCTTTTAATTCTAAAGTACAAGTGACAAATACTTGGCCCACAACTTCCCTGGCTATTTGAATAAGAAAGAAGACCTCACCCTCCAAGCTGCTTTTGAAGGCTTTATGCTCCAGAGTTCTACACCTCAAACCACAGACTTTGAATTCCACTTACAACCATTCCTGAGAGGATCCTACCACCACATACAGGAAAGTGATTGTAGACATGCAACTGCTCCAAGGAATTCACCTATTATGCACAACAGAGCAAGTCATTTCTGCACTTGCAGAATCTTTGGACCCCTCATTCTCCTGGAAGAAAAGTATGAAGTGTCTCTATCAGGCAATCTAGAACAGAATTTCTCACATTTTTTTCCCCTTAATCAAATTTATACACATACTGGAGGCAAACTGACGCCTGAAAGATGACTGACTGTAAAACAAAAAGCTCTTAGAGACTTGACAAGTTAAATGCTTAGAACTGGTGACTGATTTCCCACTTCAAGCACTACATTTACTTAAAGAAAGTCTCTATCTACTTCAAGATCACTATGGGCAGGACATTTAGCACTTACTCTTTCAGAGTACTCTGAAAGGTGGGACTTAAAGGTGATCAAATGACCAAGCTAGATTCAATAGGAGATTACAAGATAAAGTTGCTAGCAATTTAAATGCTAACACCAAGGTTCACAGCACTGCAACAAAGACCTCGGTACATTACAAACATCTAACTCTTCCCACTATGCAAGATCAGATACAAAATATAGGGCCTTGCTATGGTTACAGTTACTTCACATTTTCTAGCATGCTAGGAGAATACAGTAAAGCACAGTGTTAAAAAAGCTGCAGGGCAATTAAGTAGATTAAAAAAAATGTTTTTTAAATCTTAGATTACTGATATAAAGTTTTTTTAAATAGATTAAATGTGTTTTACCTGTCCTCCTGAGAATTCTTCCCAGATCGCCTCTTATTTTTAGCCTCCCGAGGAGATGAACGGATTTTCTTGGATGGGGGACCTGAATCTCTTCCATAATCTTCATCTGGACAGGACAGTGCAAAACGGTTTTGAATCAAACTCCAAGTTGCCAGCAAACTGACTACCAGCTCCACAAACCGACTTCCTTAGCTATATCTCAAAAGCACCATTTCAGACACATCAAAAGGAAGCCCTCTAAATATTACAAAGCTTCAAATAAAACTTTGTAACATACAATCAAGTTTGACACAGAAGTCTTAAGAAATACACAACAAGCTTCATAACAGGAAGCAACTTATTTTTATAGTTAGTAAGAATCACATTGAGTTATTGGGCAAATCTTCTAAAATTAACCTCCATATGTAGTTTTATGTACTTTACAGCAAAAAAACTTTATTTACTGTCCCACGATGGAAAAAGTAAATCTACAGTGTAACTTTCATACAACTGTTACACAATATCTCACACAATGAGTAAGGAGACTGCAGTTAAGAAGTTTTGCATATTTGTTTCCATTAATGATCAGTGCACCCTCACTTAGCAAACAGTAGCAATATGTCTATTTTTAAAGAACACAAAACATATTTCATATGGCTTACAGATTTAGTTAATTCATAGAGAATCAAGCTTATTTATTTATTTTCCTTTAAGATCCAAATCACAGAAATGCCTGGCATTATGGGATTAACTACAGTTCACTAAAATAAATTGAAAACATATTTTACTGAAGAAATAAAAAAGTGGCATTAAGGAGATTTTGCCATAGAACACAGCATAGACCAAGGAAGAAGTTGCTGCCAAGAGCCTAAAGGCACTACAACAATACAAGCATTAAATAATAAGATTCCTATCACTATTGTTTGTTTAATATAAAACATCTGGGAATCATTACATTTTCAAATGCTTATTAACAGTTCAGAGACTGTGAAGAAACGCCTTAGAGTTTAGGTTAAAGATATGACTAGTAGCAAAGCAATTAATATGCAAAATAATCAACTGCTGTATCTCAACAATATTATATCGCTAAGAACAAAGTGATTTACCAGCATCATCCGATTCCTGAAACTGTGAGTAATCGACCACCTTCCTGTTCCTGTTAAAAAAAAGGGGAGGGGGGGAAAAATCGGCAATTCAGTCTCAGAGATGCAAAATTACCTTTCGCTAACAAGAAAATACCATATACTCATTTCCAGTGCAAGATTCCTCGTTTACAGTAACAACAAAGTATATTATTCTATATAACATACCACCCCAGACAAGCTCCCAAAACCTCTCACAAATAAGGCACCTGTACACTCCAAGTCAGCAATGCGCACACAGTATTTTCCTAGAGTCATTCTAACAGCCTGGATTATATTCTCAGGATCTGCAGGTGCTTTTTGGTGAACTCACAACTGCAACTAAGAGGAAGCATCTTAACTTGTGCCACGCAACACTTTTGCTATTAAATGCACAAAAATTGTTGCACCTTTCCTACGTTTTCAGCTACAATTACTGAAAGCAGCATTGGCATCCTAAAAATAAAGATGGATTTAGACAGGCTAAAAATACTTAAGTAATTAAGGTGTGATTTCCCCCCACATGTACCTTTTTAAACAGGCTGTCTTGAATGTCAGACCTCATCCTGGTCCCCCATCTCAAAGCTAGCTAATGTAAAATATGATTCCTTGTATAAACGAGCAGGTGAATTGAATATGCTCAAAAATAGCCAAACTTCACTTTTCAAATAATCTCTAGCGATTTGAAAAATGATACTCTTTAATTAAATCTAAATATTCAAATTTCTGTAGCAATAGTTGAAATTGTTTGGTATCAAATATTGCCTCAAATTCACAAAACCATTTCCTGACTTCTTTTCGGGTGCAGAAAGGACAGAGTAACTGCCTGTCCCAGCTCAATATAGTCACGTTTACTCTCATATCTCCTTCTCCAGAGGCTCCCACTCTGTGTCCCCTCCTTCTAAAACATGAGAGATTTTCAGCATCTTCCTCCTGCGTGTTGTGGGGCACTTTAGCAGTTAGTTACTTTGATTCTTCAAGGAGATTTAAGAGATATTTATGATGATTAGTTGCATTATTTGACACACCAGTGGGAAAAGCTAGGCGTGTTATACACCCTATCTATTTGGACAGCAAATGAGCATGGACCTGTGTTTTCTTTACTTCATCAGCACCTTTTCTGCTCTCTAAGCAAACTGAAAGTAGCAGAAGGAACTTTAATAAGTGGAATGGCCAATTCTAGACAGTTAACTTAAATACATAGCTGTTACTTAAATCAATGCCTCACTTTCTACAAAATTAGATACACTTGTCAAATCTACTGAAGTCTAAAAACCGTAAAACGTGGAACGTAAACCCTGATATATTCCCTTTACCTTATCTACAAAAGCACTGATTTTCATATCTTAAGAAAACAAACAGACGCACTATGTCAGAAAAGAATCGCTAAGAAGTCTCTTTCTAGGAGAAAAAAAAAGAAACAGGAGAAAGTATCTACACTGATATCACTGATTCATATATGACGATGAAACTTGATGAAACGCCCTGACGATGAATGGATGAAATGCCCAAGACAATGTTCCTGCTAATTCAACTCAATGTATAAGATGTGCATACAAGGAGGAACTTGGGTAGGAAGGGTTTAAAGAGGAACCCTAAAAGCATAAGGTTTTAGCAGCAGCTGCCAGTCCAGAATTTCTGAAACAACAGTCAATCACCTGATAATTCAGTCACACGTTACACTGGAAACACAGCAATATTCAAATAATTTAATAAGAACTCGAAGCTCTACTGTAACTCTCGTAACTAACATTTGATGCCTAACAACAGCATTAAAAATGAGGAAAAGCAGTATTAACATTAGAAGTACACCTTAACGCCTACACAACTGATTAAGAATCGCATAATAATACCCCATCTCCAGCTAATAACCGATTACATCACGTAGTGAAGAGGAATGCTTAGGTCAAATGATTATCAGCAGAAACATGAGCCTATCCTCTTGTCCAATCTGGGAAGTAAAATGAATGAGAGATTAAATAATTACTGACTTTTTTTTCCGTCGTTTTAATACAGCATTTAACTAACAATCATCTAAATTAGGTATTTAATGAAAAAAGCTATCAATTTTTCTTCATTTAAAGGCTTCTAAGAGGCCTGGCAAGGATGGTCAGTTTCACTTTCTGGTGCTCAGTCCTGCTGGCAATGGCTACTCTTCAAGGACAACTTGTGACCAACAAACAGTGCCATTTAAAGCATCACTAAGGTGCCTCTTTACACACCGATACACAAATATACTGAAAATACCTATATGAAGTATTTCCTAAATGCACAGATGTGCAGTGCTAGATTTAGGTCTTACATAAACAGACATTAATTTAAACTAATGCATCAGAAGTTGAAACATTTAAGCCTAGTGACAGTTATTTACCCAAAACACATCACTATGGTGTTAGTCTATTTAAAAATTGGCACAACTGTACTCAGACAAGACTCACCGACTAGAGGTTCCCAATTACAGAGGTCAGTGTTTGGGTCTGGACTTGGTGTAACTCCAAACGTCTGTAAGACTAGGCACTGCTCATGGTATCTGTAGAATTTTTAGGGATACACATGACTTGAAACTCCGTAAAACAATTAAATGATTTATGCAGCAACAGTTTAAGCAGCCTTGTGCCCATCCTCCACTTCAACGTAACTACAAATGAGAATATTCTAAAGATACAATATAGAAATGTTCTGATGCTGAAGGGCAAGGAAAAAAACCCCATAAATCTGCAGCCTGTGTTGCTCATAGTACTTTGATGTTTACTGTACCTTTACCTCAGCCTTTGCATCTCTGTAAAGCTTTTCACATCAAGGATCTTTTTACCTGTCTGTAAAGCCTCTAGCACATCTCTGGATATAACCAAACATTCTTACCTAAGCTAAATGCCAGTCCCCCAGAAAGCGCTGCTTTCCTGCCACCTCATGAAGCATTTCCAAAATCACAATAATATTTAGATTTACATTGCCCAGGTATAATCTCAGCATCAAAACAAGTTACATTTAGCAGATAAATTTATTTTTTCCCTGCAGCTAGGCAATTTACAAGGACCATCTTTCCATTGAAGTGCCAATAGAAGATTCAGATTTGAGAACTACTACTAAAGAAGAACATGAAAATAAAGCTATAAAGCCTCGAAACACTGAAGTAAGTCTATTAATTAATGATTTTAATATAAAAATACAAAGACAAACAAACAAGCTGCAATTTAAATACTTGCCTATACTGTTTCGTTTTGCAATACCCATAGTAGAGGAGTACCAGCAAGTGAAAGTGACCAGTGAGTAAGAGGCAGAAATGAACTGCTTCAAATTTCAAGTCAAAATTCTTGGCTAAAAGACATGACCAGGATTCATTAAGTGATGCTGTACATTAAAACAGTAGTTCAAATTTTTATTTCATTTTTCAATTCATTATCCCATTTTCTATTTATTTCTTTTTGTATTCAAGAATAGATAAGGACATAACTGGAAAGTCATCAGTTCTTTGTGGTATTTCAGAACACTCAGCAATAGAATATAGAGATTCAACAACTGCCATATCTTTAGTTTTTATTACTTTTTGTAACAACAATGAAGATACATTCTTCATCCACCTAAGGGGGCTCTGGTTAAACAGAAAGTTCGGGGCTCTGAGTTTAAAAACATAAAGTCTGTAGATAAAGGGAGGTTTATTACCACTTCCTATACAGCAATTTTTAAGAAACTAATTGCAAAGTCAGACTCAAGCCTGAAGCTAGTCTTTTTCCAAGTGGAATAGAACTCGGCGGGCATTCCTAATTCCTATTAAGTTGGATGCACCGATATTTAAAATAAATAAATAAAGCAGAAAAGATAGCAAACTAATTCAAAACCACTATATTAAAACAAACCTTCCCATCACTAAAACTGACTCTGATGGTGAATTTTTCACCAGACTTCCCTACTAACAATATAGTAAGACATCCATGAAGAAAGAAATATACACACACATTTTGAAGAAGTTTTGGATTAAAATCTATGATGACAGTTATCCAGTCACATGTGAATCCATGTAATATACTGGCAACTGAAGAACCTCCTCCCCCCGCTGCAGAAGGGATGTTGAATACAGCTGGATCTCTCTCTGGCACATGCCAAAGGTGGATGTTCCACTACGAACAGCCCACTGGACTTCGGCATTGCCTTTTACTCTAGAGCAGGATAGGTCAGCTGTGGGAATACACAAGCGAGGTGTTTCACAACACTGCGCGATTTTCTAGGTACTATTTTGGTTTAGAAGTGGTTGCTTTCCAAGTAATCAAGGCCAGAAAGCTTAGAAGTCATGCTTGTAAAGACACAACGCTTTCCTTACCTGTAGCAAGACTCCGGTGCTGGCAAGTCTATTGCCAGCAGAACGTACCCCCAAGTGTCACACTGAGCAGCACAGTCACATCAGCGCTGTATTCCAGAACACAGGCACTGTCATTCAACATCAGACCACTAGTCCATCTAGGCCAATATCCTGTCTTGCAAAGGGCCAGAAACTGAGGCTTCAGTGCAGGGTATGCACAGCCATATTAATGCACCTTTTGGATACCAAACTAGTCCCTAAACACTAGAAGTTAAAGACATTTATTTGCCCTTACCTATGCATGCAGAAGTTAAATGGCCTATCAAGTAAAGAGCCACTAAGAAGTAAATATTTCCTCCCTAATTAACAAAGTAGCCCTATTCTAACATTTTTTAATTTTCTTGTATTTAAAGCGTTATTTAAAATACAAAGGTTATCACCTATATATTGCATATGCAAAGCTTCATAGCCGATTTTCATTTCCTTTGTATTATTCAAAAACAACTGCATTTACCGCATAACCTAAAGGAGGTTGACTGGAAGTAAAACACACAACCAGTTACCTAAAATACATTGAAAATGAGCAAGTTCCAGAACGAAGCGTCCATTATCTTACCTTTTCTACAAAGGTAACCTACAGGCTCGGGCACTTTGCAGAGAGGTGTGGAAAAAACACGGAGGGGCCGAGGGGGATCTCCTGGAAAGCAGGGGAGGTTCCGTATTTGCAGGTGGGAGGCTCGGGGCCCGCGGGGGGCTCTCCCGGGGGCTGTTTGCCCGCAGCTCCGGGGCTGCTGTGCGGGACGCGGCGGGGAGGGCGGCCCGGGGGGGCTGGGGGCGGCGGGGCCGCGCGGCGCCCGCCGAGGGGGCGGCTCCCGCGGGCTCCTCCCCGCAACGTGGTTTCACTTGCGCGCTCGGCCGCGCTCCGCGTCCCCTCCCCCGCGCCTGCAGCACGGGCCGCTGCTCGGCGGCCCCTCGCACAGACAGAGGGGAAAAAATACTAAAAAAAAAGAAAAAATATGAAAAAAAACAGAAATATATATATAAAATTAGAAGGCGCGTGCGGAGGCGTGGCGGGGCCCCCGCGCAGCGCCAAAAGGCGCTGCCCCCGCGCGAAGTGGGTCAGGGCACATGGCGAACATCCACGTCCCCCGCTGCAAATAATAATCATAAAAATAACAGAAAAGCGGCGCGCGGCGCCTCGCGCGCGGCCGCCGCGGGCCTCGGCCGCCTCCCGCCGCCCCACAGCGGCTCCGGGGCAGCGCACGTTGCCCTAGGCCGGGCCACCGTCTCGGGGGAAAAGATAAATAAATGCAGGGCAATATATATATACACATACGAATGCGCAGCACGCAGCCCGCGCGGCCTGCCCCCGCGCCGGGCCGCGCACACGCTGCCCGCGGCCGCGCAGGGCGCCGGGCCCGCGCCGCGGCCTGCTCGGCAAGCGGGGCGTGCGGCGGGGCCTAGCGGGAGGCGGCGCCGCGGGGCCTCCGCGCGCCGCCAAGGACTCACCTGACAGGCCTGGACATGGTGGCCCGGCGGCTGGGGGCCCGGCGCCGGGGAGGCCGCCCGAAGCAGGAGGGCGCGGAGGGAGGCGGCGGGGAAGCAGAAAAGCGGCCGCCTGGCGCCGTCCCCTCCCCCGGGCAGCGAGCGGGAGCGCTGGGCCCAGCGCCTCAGGCCGCGCCTCCGGAGCCGCCTCTTCCCGCTCGGTGGCCGCCGCCGCCGGGCCGCGCCGCCCCGCGCCGGAGGAGCCTGGCGCTCCGCTGCGTGGGCCGCSCGCGTCCCCCGGCCCCGGTCCCCGCGCGCCGCCGCCTCGCTCGCCGCCGCTCGCCGCTTCCCCCCCGCAAAATGGTCGCGTTCGCACGGGCGAGAGGATGCGCGCGGGGGGCGGCGCAGCCTACCCCGCTGGCGCCACCTCCTCCGCCGCTCATTGGCCGCGGGGGGCGGCGCGGCGCGCCCCATTGGCCCGTTCGAACCATCACGGCGAGCAGCGCCCGCCCACCCCCTCCCGCGGGGAGGAGGGGGGGAGAGAGGGGACGCCCCGCACACCCAGGCTGCCGGGAGCCGCGGCGGGAGCTGCGGCGGAGGAGCAGATTCGCCACGAGCCCCGCGCGGCGCCCGCCGGCCCCGCCGAGCCCCGAGCGCCGCCGGGACCCGCCGCAGCGGGAGCCCGCCCCGCTGTCTTCCCGCGGCGCAGAGCCCTGCGGCGGGGGCGGGGCGAGGGGGGAGCGGCGGGCGCCGTCCCGCAGATTCGCCGCGCGGGACGGCGCCGTTTTGGAGGGAAAAGGCGGCGAGGCCGCGGGGACACCGAGCCCCGGGGACACCGAGCCCCGGGGCAGCCCGCGGGCGCCCCCTGCGCCGCCTCCCCCCTCCCCTCACGGCGGTGCGGGGCGGGGGGCGGCCGTTGGGGACCGCTGGGCCAACGGTCGCGCCGCGTCCGCCCCTGAGGTAAAAAGGGCGGCGGGCGCCGCTTAGGGCGGGCGGTTAGAGCCCGCGGGGCCGCCGCTTTGTCACGGAGCCCCTAAGGGCGCCGCTGCCCGCGCCCTGCCGCGGATTTTCCACCCAGGAATTCCAGGAAGTTCCTGCGTGGAAATTTGTTAAAGGAAGAAATTCCAAGAAAGGGTTTGGGGTCGTTTGACTTTAAAACCCCTAGAAACTTAACATAAGTTACTTTATTCAGATAAGGAACGTGTTTTTATCATGGAAAAATAAAAAGCGTAGTCCCTAAACGCAGTTTCTGCAATAGCAACTCCCTTCTACTTCATCCTTGGCTCTTTTCAGAGACCAGTTCCTCAGTTTTATTAAAATCAGTACTTATAAAACATTTTCTTATGTGCAAGGGTCATCTGAGAAGACAGCTTTGACCATACAAATACAGACAGCTTTTACTTAATGTGAGTTTATTTAATACTCTCTTAATCTTTTCTCCCTTGGACTTACTACTGCTTTTCCTGTCAATTCAGATGTCCTGAAGTCAATACTCCTGAAAACCAAGCTGATCTGGAAAGAAAGAGGGTTATTCAGAACAGCTGCCCGCCTTCATAGCCGGCCCATAAATACACAAAGTGAACTAATGAGCCATAAGGAGAAAGACATTATTAGCAAATAACCACATCAAGGAGTTTTTTCTTGCTCCTCTTAGCTGGGTATATTGGATTACAAGTTACTGGGACTGACACAACAGATTGGCGAATTTTGCCATACTTATCTTCAACTCTTAGGTCAACAAGACTAAGATAATCAAGATAGCACAGTATTTCGATGAAAACAATCGAATATATTTTGCTGGCAACACAGGGATGTTCACGCTGCGCTTGGTACCTATCTATCGCTGCCAGCAATTGCTTTTGTTTCGGACTTGCAAACCCACTAGGGCCCTTGAGACAAGAAAACAGCAACTACCAAACAAGCAAAGGCAAACTTTTATTTCAAACTTTTGCAATACTGCATTAGTTACTGATTGATATGGGGAAACCATCAGTTCCTTCTCTTTATTATATAAACATAATACTGCAACTTCACAGTAATCGGAATCCTGTCTCTAAAATACTGGTGCATAACTGTAAGCGGTTAAAAAAAGCGCTCAATTTTCATATTGTTGAGTATTTCTGAACTACAGTCTGTCCTCATGATTTCAAATGCTATTGGAGTATATAAAAAAAGAGCTATTACATAAATTAAAGAGTTATAGCACTAAGTAACAGCAGGCAGAAGACAGTGAAATAGGTACCGTTGGCCCAGCATCATGGAAGAGTACAAAGTCAAACTAGGCACTGCATGAGGGGAAAAAAAAAAGCAAGTATCTTCAATGTTTTTTCTTTCAATTTCAAAAATCCAGTGTCTTCAGATTGGTACCAAAGACACCAATTAGGCACAAGTCATCACAATAAAGATAAGGCTTCTCTGATTTACTTCTGAAAGATCAGGAAAACAAAGCAAAATCTTACTGTTTTGCACAAATAAGACTTACATTTGATTAAAATACTTGCTAGAAACTTTGCTTTGCTCAGGCTGGAATTTTCCCTGCAGTTGTTTTAAAAACTAAAATGACCCATGCAAGTTGGACACAATTCCATAGGCAAGCCTTCCCTGAATGCCACTTAACAACAAACATGGGGCCTTTCCGTTTGTTTTACGGGACGAGCTGCTCATAAAACCTGCATTTTTTTTTTCTCCAAGTATCTTATATGCCACAGAACACTGGAAAAAATACATTTGCACAGTCAAATCCTTTTCCTGTCTGGACCGGTGTTTATAGAGACCTCAAGCAGCGACTCTTGTTGTTGCACAGCCTTTGTTTTTGACACTCGCCTGCTGCATCTCTATGAGCATTGACAGCCAGTAAGTTGTGTGGAAGAAAACCCCAAGGTATGCAGCAGTATCCGAAACCACAGGTGAGAAAATAAATTATAAATAATACAAATTCCAAGTACCTTCTTTAGGCTTTCTGCTCATATCTGAGAGGCACGCAAAAATAAGAGATCCAAAACCCAAAGAGACACTAGTACATAGCAAACGGGCACACGAACAGTATCAAGACGCTTTTCCACGTATGGCTTAGTGGCTGGTCGGTTGAAACAGTTATTAGGAAAATCTGTATTTGGTCCAAACTCTTAACGACTTCAGTAGCTGGTCCTGGGCACAAGCCTGCTGCTGTTTGCCTCGCTTCCTTCATGTAAAGCCAGCTTTAAAACCAACTCTTTGCTCAAGCTTTTTGAGGTGCACATGCAGAAATCAATAAATAATGTAGGGATTCCGCTTTGTTGCTAACAAGTGCTGCTTCCACGTTCTCAGGCCCTACCTCCACAATCCTGTTTCACAAGTTTTCACACTAAACACAGGCTCATGGAAAAGCATATTTAAGTGCCTATAAAACCAAATTCAGCAATATCTCCCTGACAGAATCCTACCCAAAGACCTTAGCTCTTAATAAAAATATCAGAACAAAATCCCATAGCACTTACAGTTCATATATCCATCCTTTTCAGCTCCTGAGAACAAATATCCACAAGTTTTTAACTACTTAGTGAAGGTAATTGGTGCCTGTTCTTATTGCCCTCTCGCTCCATAGAGTACATGGAATAAAAAGGATAGAGGAAACTCTGCCAACGGCCAGTCCTAATTCAGGATGAATTCTGACAAATTGATAGTCCTGTCAGCTCTTGGGAAAAGTCCTTCGAGTCTTCCACCCCTAAACCCCGATCTTTATTTAATCCACTAAAGAAAGCAAAAACATTCCTGAAGAGCTTAAGTCTTAACCCAAAACACGGGCAAGACAATCGGACAGCAGAGCATGCTTGTATAAAACACACCCCATCCTATACAACCGCAGCCTCATCTAACGAGTTTCCCATTACCTCCAGGATAATTACCTAGCGTGCTTTTATTTTCTTGGGGGTGGCAAGAGCCATTCCCAAGAGCAATGGATACCTGGGGATAGGCTAGGAAAAAGCAGGCAGGAAAAGGCAAGTGAGGAGCGGTTCTCTCCATTCCCTTTGGTCCCGCCAAGTCTCCTTTGCTCCCACCTTGGACCATTAAAAGCAGCAGGGAGGCTTCCAGAGCTTCCCAGATTCACTTCTCCAGAACAACTCTGGGAAGGCAATTCCTGAGCAATCACAAAGCGGCTGGAGGCTACAGGGTGTTGGGACAGCGAGAAGGGCTGTTGTTGCCCCAAACAAAGGGGTTTACAACCTCGTCCTCATCAGACCTTGGTGCCCAAAGCAAGCAGCAGAACAGGACACGGAGGGACGAGCGAGGCAAAAACGAACGGGCGGCAACGGGACAATTCCTGGCACGAACCTGGGCTCTGCTACGAGCACGGCACTCAGTGCACACAAAAACAAGGGCCCTGCTATCCGGTCCTCCGAGCAGGTTATTTTACGACCCAGTGACACGGGGCCCCGTGCTCACGTGCATCCGTGCATGGCTAGGGCGGCTGGCGGCAGCGCCGAGGGGCTCTGCCCTCCCCGTGGCGCGGAGCAGAGCCCCGCAGCGCCGAGAGGAGACTGCGCTCCGATCCCACGCGGGATCCGCAGGCACCCAGAGCCCTCCGAGCCCTGCGGGCAGCAAAGGGGGTCACTGCAACGCGTGCCCACGTCTGCAACGGCGGGGAGCAAAAGACGCACCACTCATCAAACGCACCTTCCCCATCCTTGCCCCTGCCCAAGCAGGCGGACGTGAGCCGATGAAGTGCTCCGAATTAAAAATCATTAGTCCAATTAATGCACAGGCCACACTACCTTGGTGCGGAGGAGGAATCTGCAAGAGGAATCCTCTCCGTCCTCTCCCCTTCCTGCCCTCGCCCAAGTCTCTGCAGCAATGCCGTGCTGAGCGGCAGAGCACACAGTTCTCCATGGTGTAAAACACCAGAAAGAGCTACTTTAAAAATAATAAAATAGCACTGCTGCTTGAGCCCGAGCGGACGGTGCAGTAAGTGCATCTAACAGCAAGCCCAGCCAGGTGTGGATGGCTCCTTCAAGTTGATATAATCCCCACTCCCAGAAGCAGAAGAACTTCCATCTCCGGCAGAGGAGGACATCATCTTCTCAATCAGGACTCTAGAAAACAAATACATGTGTTTTTTTTTTTTCTTTTTTAAGCAAGCAGCGATGTGCTACACCGTTTTGAAGCCATGCAAAAGAAATGCAGTGATTTCTTCTAGAAAGACACAGAACTCCAGTCCCATCCTACTCCTCTACTCCTGGTAGAGGCCAACGTAAGAAAAAACATCCATGGTTTTGTTCCAAAAGCCCCTTGACCAAGGAGAGAAGAACTTCTGACCTTCCAGAAGTTAGATTCCCTTTAGGAGATTTACTAGCATGTTGTTACTGCTCCCACTACCTCCAAGAACCTGGTGCCTGAAAGAGGGAATTTACACTTCATATGGCTCAGAAGTCACTGCACCTACCTCATAGACTCATGAATATTCTTGTTTTCCTTGACGGATGTTTCCACCCAACCAGAAAAGCCATTTTCCTTGCTGAACCGATCCACCTCTTCCCTTGTCACTGCCCACGGGGAAAGGTCACACTGTAAATCAAGAATCAGTGGGGTTTAAGCTCAGCCTTTTAACTTTTAAGCTGGGAGGGGAATTCTCCCCCTCGCCCCTTTAGCGCTCACGCTCATTCAGCAGGCGGCTCGGCCGCTCGCGTCTCCAGGATAGAGAGCTCCCAGGGCAAGGTTCTCAATGGGATGTTGCAAGCAGCAATGTATTTATCTAATCTGCGGTGCTGGCACACCCCTGCCAAGCACGCCCGGAACTGGGCTGCATCCAGGAGAGCACAAAACCGCCGTGTTGCTCGTCCAAAACGGCCTCTCGGCAGCGGGGAAACACTCCCTTCCAGCCCGAAACCGTCCGCGAGGGCAGCGGGCGCACGAGAAGGCAGCGGGAGAACCTGTGCAACAGCAGCTTCTATTTGTGTGGCCGTATTACCTTATGCAGGTGGGAATGTTATTTTAAAATGCCACTGGGGAAACATCCTAGCCGAGGACGAGAAGCAGCAGCAAAGCCCTTTTCCCGCCCAGCCCTCCCGGTTTTGGTTCCTTTCCAGCTTGAGCCTCTCCCAAAGCAGGCAAGGCCCAAACCGAACAAGCAAAGGGCTGCTGAGCCCATGTTGGCCTGCGTGCAACATAAGAGGCAGCTTTTAATGAAAGAAAAATTAGAGACAGCAAGCAATCTGCAGGGTGAAACCGCTGCACCCGAGGGAAGAGCAGCCACCGGAGCAGCCCGAGAGGCTTTCCTGCCACGCCATACCCAACCTCCCTGCTCTGTGCAAGGAAAAAGGCTAAAAAAAGGAGAAAATCAAGGTCTTTTTGGCTCTTTTGCACCCGGTTTGCGGACAGGAAGGGCGGCAGAGGCCACGCACTTTGTTAGCCAGCAGCAGGCAGGGCACGGGCCTCCCGTCGGGCAGCACCAGCTTGCTGTCCAGGTCCTGCTTCCACTTCTGGCTGTTGCTGAAGGAGCTCAGGTTGGTGACGTCGAACATGACAACGCAGGCGGAGGCCTCGCGGTAGTAGAGCCGGGTCATGGACGTGAAGCGCTCCTGCCCTTGGGGAGGAAAGGAGAGCCTCAGCTCCACCGGCGCCTCCATCGGCCACGGCAGACACGCAGGTGCTCACACTTGATTAATTAAAGTCATTAATGTGACTTGACTTGATCGTTACTTGATTGAAGGGGAAATGGAGGCATCCTGCCTCATGCACCTCAGCAACACAACGAGATGGAGACAAGGACAGTCCTCAACCCCGGCCCCGACACTCAGAGGTCCCACAGACCCCTGCATCACCCTCAATATAACAACTCAAATATTACAACTGAAATCAGGTGTTTTTTCCCCAGCCAGCTCGGTCTCCTGCCGAGCAAAGCCCTGCTCCAAGCCGCTGCCAACAGGATGAGGAGGGTTCCCTGCTCCCCGTTGATTCGTGTGGCCGAGAGCCGGGCAGGGACACGGCAACACAAACACAGCCCTGCAGGACAAGTCTGGGCTTAAACAAAACCTCTCCAACCTCATGTGAGCTGTTACTACTATTCAAACCTTAAGGCCTGCCCGTAGGAGCAACCCTGTAGCCAGCAAGCAGCCCCACCAGGCTTGTTTGCCTGGGGACAAACCACCACGTCTCCACATGGGTCTATGGTAAGTGGAAAACAGCATTTCTGACACTGCACAGAGGTTGGTATAAGCTCTGACCTGGCTCCATAGCTGCTCAACGGGCTTCACACTCCAAAGAGATGGAGAACGGAGCACTCTGAGCTACCTCCAACCCCCGGTGTCCCTTCCTGGTAACTCCAGGTACCTCCAACCAGCCCTTCCATGGAGGAAGCACCGAGGCAGGACCGTCCCGCGCGTCCCCTGCAGCCCAGGGCACGTCACGAGCGCGGGGACAAACACGGCCACGCTGCTCCCCAAACCTGAGGGCCTCTTCGGTCCGAAAGCGAAATCCGCCTCTTGCTGCAACCCTCTTGCTGCAAACTTCTCCTTCCTGTTTTCTTCTGTGCAATTCCAGGCGCACCCGGCCCAGCAGCGAAACCAGAAGCCCCAGGCAAGTTCTCCTCGCTGCTCTAGAGCCAGGGAGCCACTCTGGGGACCTGCACATCCCTGTCCTGCGTCTCCTGCTGCTAAGAAGGTTCAGGAACCGGCGCTTTCTGTATTTCTCCAAGCAGCAGATGCTACTGGCTCCCCTCCAATGAGTGTCCCCAGAAGAGGCCCCGTTCCTGAGCCAGGCCCAGCAGCTCCAGTGTCCCCCTTCCACAAGCGCTGCTCCAATGTGGACATGCACCTTAGGAAACCACCAGCTCCGCTCAGACTCAACCTCTGAAGCCCCTTCTGATCCCAAGACTAGGCTGCATTCAATGAAAGGACTCCAGGTTTAGACACGGGAATTGGCCCTTCCTGGCCGTCGCGTCAGAGATGAGTATTTTAAGAGAAGACTCGGAGCTGGGTCACAAACCCAGTCCCGAACCAGCTTCCCTCCCCGCTCAGACTGCTCTGCCTTTCAAAGAGCTCCGAAAAACTTACATTTGTGCTGCTGGGCTATTTGCACGCGAGCCACTGATTCAATATTGAAATTACCACCGCAAACTGGACAGTACCGCAAAGCAGCAGCTCTCACCCCTGGACTCCACAGATTTTTGAGGGTTCATTTGCACGCCAGATTCCCAGGGGGGAGATGTGGAGGGGGAAGGAAGGCCAAGCGACTCGGGGTGGTTTAAATTCCGCTGCAGTGAGCTCGCAGTTCCCGTGACCATACCTGCAATGTCCCAGAGCTGCAGCCGCACCGTCTCCGACTCCGACCACTGCACCACCTTGAGCGCAAAATCCACTGCAAAATGCCCGGGGAGGAGAGGAGAGGGCAGTTAGGGACCTGCGCGGCCCTGGGGGCACTGCAGGGACCCGTACGGACCCCCAGGCACCCTGCATGCGCTGCCCCCCTCTCCGTGTCCCACCCAGCGGGATGCTCCGCTCCGTGTCCCACACAGGCCCCCAAACACCCTCCCAGGCGTGGGGAGGGACCCGGGGCGCCCTCCGCTCTGCTCCCCATTCCCGAGCTCCAGGCGGCAGCGCCCGGCGGGAGCTCCACAGCCCCCGGGGCTCCCTCCGCGCGAACCACGGAGCTCCACGGCCTTTCCCGGCGCTTCCAAAGCCGCCCATCCCCGCGGGAGCCGGGCAGGGCGGCCGGGCCGGTGCCGGTGCCGGGGCTCCCGCTCACCTCCCACCGTGGACTTGTAGTGGCGGTTGAAGCTGTCGTGCGCGTAGCGCTGCACGAGCGACGTCTTGCCCACCGTGGCGTCGCCCACCACCAGCACCTTGAACATGCGGTCGCGGTGCCCCATGGCGGGACCCGGCCCGGCCCGGCCCGGCCCGGCCCCGCCGCGCCCTCACGTGAGCCCGGGAGGCGGCGCCGCGGGGCTGCCGGGACGCGTAGTCCGCCCCGGGGCCCGCATCCCGCTTCCCGGATCCCGGGAGCGGCTCCAGCCCCAGCGCGAGCTGGAAAAGCTGCAGGGAGCGGGAGCGAGCCCCGCGGGCGGCGGCCCCGATCCTCGTTATTTACAGCTGTTCCTTTTATACTTGCCGTTATGTATTGATTCCGGCGTCACGGGACGGTTCTAAGGCAGCGGCAGCACTGCGGGGAGCCCCGGCCACTGCCCCCCCGCACAAGCGGGAGCAGGACGGTGCCCTGGGGGTGCCCGTGGGCGCCCCAGCTCCTGTCTCAGCCACACGGAAACCCCTTCCTTAGCAAAGGCTGCAGCTCCGCAGGCACCAAGGGCCCCTCGGCGGCCTTGGGACCCCCACGGCCTCAGCAGCCCCCTCGTGTCCTCCCATCCCCGTGTCCCATCCCATCCGGCATCGAGCGCCCTCCGGCATCGCCTGTTGTGCAGACGGGCGCTGCACCAAGATGCTGCTGTGACAAATAACGCGACCCCAGTGAGGGCCTCATGGAGGGAGAACACCACAGTCCACATAAATAAATGTCATCTTTATTTAACCAAATATAATTTATCCATTAACTTGACATCTGTCAATTCAGTTATAGTAACTATAAATAATTAAGACGGTCTCTTTCCTTTAATAAAAAGAGTAAACGGGTAGTTGGTTTTTCTCATTTGCAGTCAGATGTAACATAGTCATGCATTTGAGTGCAACAGGGGGAAGGTTTTCATCCTTGAATATTCCAAAGGTTTTTCCTAGATCTTCCCTGGCCCATTTCCCCTCTCCCGCTCCTGCCGCAGAGCTCCCGGTGCGGAACGCGCAGCAGCCCCAGGGCAGCTTCAAAGCCCTCCGGGTCCCTCCGGCTCATCCAGGAGGCCACAGCAACGGATTCTCCCTCCGGCACAACCGTTTCCTTGGGTTCCACGTGGGTTTGTGACACCTAAAGCCCAGGAGCCTTTCTCACAGATAAACCTAAGTGTTAATGGGAGGAAATCCCACATCTATCCCCGCGCATCAGGCAGAGAAAGGGGGGAGCAGCAGTGAGGACTCCACAGGTCTCCAGGCTGGCACTTGGCAGGACTAGGGCGATAAACGCAGCACGGAGCTCGGCCAGCTCTTGTCCTGCCCAGGACAAGTGACTTGTCTCCGCCCTGCCCTTCCTGCAGCTGCTCGGCAGCGCCAGCACCGCAGCGAAACAACAGGCAGCTCCGAACAGGCCGGGCAAGAAACGGGGAAGTTGCCCTAAAAGAGGAAGCGAAGGCGACGGAGGAGGGTCGTGTTCTGCTATGAGGAACACACTTCGCACAAAGGGAAAGCGGCAGCCGGCAGGAAGCGGCAGCTCCGGAGGGTGGCACCGCGGGCGCAGGGAGGCCGGGCAGCGGGATCAGGATGGGACGGGAATGGCTGCACTTGGAGCCTGGATCCAGGGAGCTGCTGCACAGGCCTCCTGGCTACCTGCAGCCACCGCAGGGTTTGGGGCTACCGGCGGCTCCCCCAGCTCTGGGCCCCGGAGCACTGGAATCAGGCTCCACGCTCCATCCTTCACGGGTGTTAGGAGCCTCCCTGCAAAGTGGAGCTGCACTTCATTGCCCGTTTCATTCCCCGTTTCATTCCCCACGCTAGTGCCTGCTGCAGGCAGCGCTCTGCCCGAGGGCACCGTTCCAGCGCAGGGACATCCTGAGCTTCCCAGACCGGTGGCTCCTGCTCACCCTGAACTGCACCCAGCTCGGCCGCCGTGGGGCAGCTGCAGCCACGGCCCCACGTGGGCTCCTTCCCCAGCAGCAGCCCCATGCTCCCGGCTCCCACGCTCCCGGCTCCGCAGGGCCTCTGGCTCCACTGGGATCCTCAAGGCCTCTTCCCAGCAGCACCAGTGGGTCCCTCAGCAGCACATGGCAACTATGGAAAAAGCCTTAACACAAAGATCGGGATCTAGTTTTCCTCTTCACCCCGAAGAGGTGGCCATGCAAACGGCACCAGGCCTGTTCCAGCACAACGGAGGGGTTTTCACCCCTCAACACCAGCTAGTCCTGCTGCTGTTGAAGGGTCGCACACAAGGGAGGGTGACAGAAACCCCATGTCCTCGTCCACGAAGATGGTGCCTGTTCAGTAAAACCAACCTGAGCTTTACCTCCAATATTTGGAACGCTTACAGAGCAAAAAAGCAGCCCCTGACCTCTGGTGCCCGGGCCAGGGGGCTCCCCATATGATCAGACCCATCAGTGTCTTCACTGTAGCCTTGGTTTGGACACAATTGCTATGAAATTGCACTTGGTGATTGTCTCTTTACACTTTTGTTCTTTTTTGTCCTTCCTAAAACTAGATTTATGTTCTGTACAAACTTGGCTTGAAATATAAACCATGTAAAAATTCCCATTGAAAATAATGAGAATCCAGTATCAAAGGGGAAGTCTCACGGGAGACTGAGGGGAGGAAGTGATGGAGAGCAAGGGTGGAAGAAAAGAAAGGAACAAACAAAAAAAAAAAAGAAGCCAAAAAAAAAAAACCTGAAGGGGAAGAGCTGACAGGAGGAGAGGGGCAGCGAGGAGAACTAGTCTCCCACGTCGGAGTCCCGGTCACCGATGAGCCAGAGGATGTGGAAGCTCAGAGCAAGGAGACCCGTTCCGATGAGGTCACCCAGTGCTGTCAGGTACGGGATGGAGAAGTTGTCAGGATCGAGGTCCCTGCCCCACATCCAGTGCACCATCCAGTCCGCGATGTAGAGCAGGATGAGGACCTGGATGGCACAGAGAGCCGCGTGAGCGGGAGCGCAGACCCCGCGAGCCCTCGGCTGCCGCCCATGGGGCCAGAGGCTTCAGCGCCAGCACTGCAGCCACCTTGCTGGGCGCTGCAACCCAGGCTGCACCCTGAACACATCAGCACGGCGCAAATCCGAGCGGTCCCGGGGCTCCCAAACCCACGGTGTCTTTAAAAGCCTCTTCCCTCCCTCTGTCTGCAAAGGGCTGTGAGCCGAAGCCTCCTTGGAGGCCGGCACCAAGTTTGCAGCCTAAATTTAGCCTCGCGGAGAGCGCTCTGCGGCTGCCTCCGACGGGCCCTGACTCACTTCCTCCCGCCCGCTGCACGGCTGCTTTGGGGCTGCTGAAACTCGGAGCAGCCTCGGCCTGCGGCGGGCAGCGGGGAGCCCGCGGGGCAGAGGCTGCGTGGGCAGGGCCGGAAAAGGAGGATTTATTCACTTTGATACCTGCTCCTTTGGCAAATTTGCCCGGCGGATCCTCCCCCAGAGCGCCAAGCGAGGCAGGGGGCAGCTCCCTGCTGCGGGGGACTCACTCGTGTCCCCTTATCGCAGCCTGGGGGCTGAGAGCCCTGGCCAGGCCTGGTCCTCACCTGCAGCAGCGCAGCGGTCATGTAGAAGAGGATGAAAATGAGGGTGAGCGTCGTGTGGCCGCCTCGCATGGAGCTTATGGTGTAAAGGAAGACCAGGTGTCCCGGCACCACCAGGAGGAAGAGCACACGGGCGGAGCGGGAATTCACATCTGCGCACAAAAAATAAGCGGTGCAATTAATAGTTGAAAGGGGCCCAAGCAAAGAGCAGGTCTGCAGACCCCACGTTGCAGGGCCAGTGCTCAGTGCAGAGCTCAAGAACCTCCCGAGACAGGTTGAGTTTTCTCAGAGAGAACCACGTCAGGAGCCTCGTTTGCACCTTGCGTGGGGATGAGCTCGCTGACACCTCCCGGCTCACATCTCCCGTCCCGCCTGCTCCCAAATGCCACCACCTCATGGCTGATGTGTGTGAACAGGGCTAGCTGCGGGGCCCTGCTCAGGCACAGCTCTCACCAGAAGGCCAGGACGTTGGCTACCGGTTTTCAGGCTTTCTTAGGCAACTGAGTCATCTCTGGCCAAGTTCCACGCTCCGGAACGCAAGTTTGGGCTATTTGGATGCAGGATTTCCACTATCAGGTCAGCACGGGACTTGTGCTCCGCGTTTTCCCCTCGTTAGGTTACGTCCCCCTGTGCAGCAGCTCTGATTAAAGGCCTGACGGTCTCTAGAGGGCAGGCCAGGCCACGCAGCCAGCCCAAGGGCGACTCGAGCGCTGCCTCTGCGCAGGCTGCAGCCACCACCTCCCCGGCAGCCTCGCAGAGCGGCCCTTTGCAGCCCCCGGCGCTGGCAGAACAAAACACATTCCGTCTCCCCACTCACCGGAGCCGAAGAAAGTGCTGCAGGGGCTGGGGCACTTGCGGGGGGCCGTTTCCGAGCTCTCCCCGGGCATCCCGCTCATGTGCAGGTACGTGGAGATGCGGCTGGCCTGCACGGCGACCAGGTTGCCACCCACACCTGCAGGGACGGGGAGAGCAGCGAGATCCGCGTCTGAGAGCTCAGAAAGGAAAGGCATGTGCAGAGGGCAGCACACGACACACCTTGCCGGGAGCCGGAATGGCGTGGGACGGGATTTCTGACCCAGATTCTACTTTCGCTGGATGTAAAAGTGCAAAACACTAGAATATCTCTTAGGTCCCTTAATAAAATAGAGGCAATTCTCCTTTTTTGCAGTTTTGATAGGAAAAAATAATATGTGGAAATAAACAATTAAACACAAAAGCCCCACCTGAGGCTAACAGCATGACAGACACAGGAAGCTGAAACTACTCTTTTTTGGATGATGCATCTTGAAACTATGGAATTAACTCCCTTTATTGGAAGGCTGCCAGTGCAGAAATGGGCTTTGCTGGTGCATTAGCCCAAAAGGGATTTCGAAGTTTTATGTGAGAAGCAACTAAATTTCCTAACATCAAGCCGTGCACCTGGATGCAGGCGCTGCAAGGCCCAGCACTCGGAAGGTGCGGGACTTTCTCCAGCCAGGAGGACTCAAGAGATGAAGATTATTCTCCTCGGGCTCGGCCGCCTTGCAAGGTTGTTTAGGCCAAGCCTTAGGAAGGTGCATAGGGTGTGTGTGACCCTGGCCCAGCACCAGGCTCCCGAGTCTCCTCCCGCAGCAGCGATCCGAGTTGCTCAGTAGCCCCCGCTCATCACCAGCTCCTGTTCTGAGTTGTGCTGTAATTCAGTGTGCGCTGCCAAAGTCATAGACCTGCCTCACATCGCCTAAAAGGTCATTTCCTAGGACCACAAACAAAGGAAAATATTCCAAAGTGCATGAGGGCCTGGGATTTGGAAAGTCTTCTTGGTAATAGCCCCTCAGCCCATCAGGGCTGGCACCAGGGGGAGCGACACTGCTGTGAAGCTCCCATCCAAGCACCGTGTCCCACAGAGGATCCAGAGAACTGGACTCCTAATCCCATCTGAAACAAGGTGCACGGTGCAGTTTCTGTTGCCTGCCAGAGCCTCCAAAAGCTGCAACCACAGAGTGGAGAGGAACTCACCATTAATAACCGGTGTGAACACAGCTATCCCAGCAAAGTTGGGATCTGAAACCGTTCTGTCCAAAATTAACCCGCCAACACTGCAGGGGGAAGAGTGAAGAGGTCAGTGAAACAGCTAATCCGTGGCTATTTGTTCAGCCAAGGCCCTGCACCACCCACGGAGGTGCTCGTTGGTGCTGTGCGTCCCCAGGGGTCATTTCCACCCCTGTTAACAGGCACCAACACCTGGGGCTGTCACACGTGAGCTTAGGTCTCCCAGCTGGGGCATAATCCCAGAGTTCCTATTATGTGATAACAGATGACAGCTTCAGCAGGAGCTGAATCCCTATTGCTGCCAACAGGAGCAAAGCCTAAATCCCTCAGCGTGTACTTTGCTGCAACACAGTTAGCAGAAGCGATCCTGCCGTTCAAAGGCAGGTCTCCAGTGAGGAGAACTTCTAGACAGGCTGTGCAGCTTGAAGGGCAGGATGCTCGGGGTCTGGGAAGGAGAACTTTCCCATGTTTTCCTACCTGCTGATAGCCATGGCGATGATGACAGGCTCCCAGCCGGAGTAGAGCACCTCCCGCGTGGCCGCGTTCCTCTTGGCCACGATGATCCAGATGGGCAGCAGGGCGATGAAGAAGGCGCACACCAAGGGATTCACGTACGCTTTGCTCTCTGAGGGGGAACGAGGAGAGGCAACGTGTCGAGGAGACCCCCTTGGTGCAGGGGGACGAGGTGTTGCCCCGGCTGAGCTCAGCAGAGCTGCCTCCAAACCGCCCTCGTGCCCCGAGCCTAAGGAAGTGCAGCAGGAAGAGGCAAAGCGGAGCGGGCCATGCTCAGCCCTGGAAGCTGGGGCCTTTCCTCTCCTGATGCGCTCCCAGAGGCACCAACAGCTCCGAGAAGTGTCTCCTTCTGCTACGAGCTGCTCGCTCCCACTTGCTGCTCCTGGACAGCTTTACTCTAGGCTGAGTAGGGCTCATCCTGCACATCCCCAGCCTTGGGGAAGAGGGAGGCAGGAGGGCAGCGCAGTCCCTACAGCTCTGCACTGAGGAACCCCCAGCTCATGACTGCAGTGAGAAGGACTAAAAGCAAAGCTGCCTCTCCACACCCAGCACTTGGACGGCGGCAGCCTCTCCCTTACCACTATACCTGTTGAGCAGAACGTTTGCAACCCCCTGCCAAGCCTGTCTGCAGCTACAGGGCAGCAAGAAGCTCCATTTCCTCCCCTCACCAGTCCTGACCAGGACTTGCTACCTGAGGTAGCTTCCAGGCCAGACATCCTACATAGAGACCCCAAAAACAGTCAGGACAAAGGAACAGGACGAGGGAGACGCTGCAGCACATGGCAGGGGCAGAGAGAGACAAGGGGCTCTTGTTGCTGCTCACCCAGCTCTTTATACAAGCCCCAGCTGATTCCCGAGAGCAGAGCCAGCGTGATGAGGTCCCCAAGGCTGGCAGCGATCGGGGTGGCTACGTTGTCAGGATTGATCCCCATCTTCCTGGAGCCGATGATGACCCCAATCATGATCATGCCTAGAGCCACAAAGAGGAAGAAAACGGCGTGAGGCCACGGGGAGCCCGGCGGCTCGGGAGGAGGTGCACAGAGGGTGCTCTTACCCAGAACAAGGGAAGCAATGAAAGCGGTAGCCACGCTGCTGGCGCAAAGCAGGACAGCGTGGTCAATGCTGAAGTGGCCATCGGGGATCCATCCAAATATCACCGCTGCGATCGAGGCCAGGAAGCCAACCACCGTAGCCTGAACCTGTCAGCAGAAGAACCAGGTGGTCACCAAAAGCCAGAGCAAACGGTCCCAGGGCAGGCTAGGACGGCAGCACCACTCCGGGTACCATCCCGGTGGATTAGCATCAGGCAGGGAGGCACCAAGGCTCATCCGCAGGGCAAACCTCTGTGCAAAGATGACTGTGGGACAAGAAGTCGCCGCTTTCCTCCCCACTAGTCATGCAGTAACCAAACCCGGGTATTTCCCCGCTTTGACACTCCTTGGAACGGGTCTCACGGGTATTCCCACTTTCCCTTTCTTACCTGTATCAGAGCCATGTTCCCTGTTATCATCTTCCAGAGCTCTTTGGGTGTGTCCATTTGGCCAATATTAGCCTGCAAGAGGACACCACGACATCATTATATACCCGAAAGATGGGTATTGTTTTGTACACACGAACAGCCCCCAATCCTGCCTTCCTCCAGCACAAGTCTGCGTTGGAAGCAGGGGAGAAGGACGCCCTCAAGCCCTCAGCGCTCGGGAACACCGTTCTGGTAGGTGTGCACGTGCACGCGGGGCACAGCCCTGCACCCACCGCACACTGGGACTGGTGGCTCCGTGAGTGTCCCTTGGGTGATGAGCCAGACCCAATCCCTCCCTCCCGCTGCATGGGCAGCGGCCAAGCCCCTGCACCAGCAGCACCATCGTGCTCGCGCACGGTCAGGCCTCGCTGCTTATCCACCCACCGAACTCCCTGCAGCGGTGACCAAACCCAACCCGGCCGGGGCCCAGGCGTGCCACGCTGCCCCCGGGCAGGGAAGCAGGGACCCGTGTCCCCAGCCAGGGACACGGCAAGGCCAGGGGACAACACGTGGGCCCCGCAGCTGGCACCGCGAGCAAGCGCTTCGAGTAAGGGTTGGGTAAACAAAGGGAATGCCACGTAGGGAGCTCCGGAGCAGCAGGAAGCAGCCACGGCACACGGGTCATCTGGCACCGCTGGGGATGATAATCAAACGAACCAGAACGGATGGAAAGTTACTTGAATTTCTTGGCTCGTGACCAAAGTGGGGGGGGGGAAAAAAAAGGCAGCCGAAGCACTGCAGGCTGCTGGTTAACAGGGAGCGTAAAGGTTCTGCTCTCGGGCACTCCAGGTCTTTATGGAAACACACACAGAATGGATAAATGTAAGGCTGGGGACAACTTACAGTACTGGGAGCTGCTAACATGAAGAGGCAGCAAATTTGTCAGCACGAAACTGTAAGGGAGAGGCAAGGAACCCAAGCAGCAGCACCACGATGCAGGCACCAGCTCCCAGTGCCCGACTCACAACACCCAAACTTCTGCCTCATGTGTTGTTCTTCAAACCCATTTGCTGAACAAAATAGCAGCCACTTCTGCCCCTCAGGCTTCCTTTCCGACCCCTGCAAAACTAAGCAGCCCAGCTGCTCCCCAGGGCACGGGCATTCGAGGGAGCACCAAGCCGTGGCCACCAGCATCGACACGCGGCCTCTGCGGGGTGGATTTTTCTGGTGAGCTCCGGGCTCAGCTCTCGCCTGCAGAGCAGTATTCAGCACATTCAGCACAGGAATTTGAGCTCCATACGAAGCCTGACGTTAAAATTCCTGCCACATGGCAATTAGGTTGGGATTAACATAACCCAGCCGCGACCGCGGGCAACGAGATCTTAATCCTGCACCTAACGGGAGAGTTTTGCTTCTTGCTTGTGAAAGGAACTTTCGGTGCCCCTTAACGTGGCACTAATTCGCTCCGTGCGGGAGGGCATTCCAGGCTGTTTCCCTGCGGAGAGGGCGGCGCGGGGCGAAGCCATGCGGAGAGCAGGGCACGTGTGTGCCGGGACAAGGAGGGAACGGATCCCGAGGGGCCGCTCCGCGTGACGGCCCCGCGGCCGCCGGAGCGGGGAGGAGGGAGCTCCGCGTTGCTGCCGCTGCCCGCGGGGCCGGGAGGAAGAGGATGGTGAGAAGGGAGACCCTTCCCCGGCCAGGGCGGCCAAGCACCGATCCCTGTGAGGCTCCTGCGGAGGCTGCACAGGGCCAGGCGAGCTGCGAGCACGGCCAGCGGCACCTCGCAGAGCCCAGGGGCACGGCTGGCTGCCCCACGGGACACGAGGCTCTCGCTGGGAGGCTGAAGATGCTTTAGGAGGGAAGAAGTATTTGCCCTTGTGCTGCCAGGGGAGGCTGCCGGCCTCTCTCCAGCCCCACAGCTACACAGAGTGCTGCCTTGTGGCAGGAGGGCTGAACCACAAAGCCACCCATTTACAGCAGGAGCAGCGCGGCGGGCCGGGAGCCGCCAGAGCCTGGCCCCATCTCGCACACGGAGCTCCCTGTTTCGTCGGGAGTGACCCGTGGAGAGGAGCCGCGCGCGGCTGTGCTCGCCAGGAGCTCCAAGGGGCTCTCAGTCCACGAGCCCTCCCATCTCCTAACAGGCAGGCCGCTCACCCCCCTTCCAGCCTCTCTCCGAGGCTTCCTGCCTCTTTTCCCTAGGGAATGTGCCTCGCTCCGGCACGCTCGGGTGGCACCGCTGGAGCCGACCTGCGCCTAGGAGCGGCCGTGACAAGGACACGCGGTGCCAGCCAAGCTCAGGGACTACCGAGCCCTTGAAGCCCACGAGGGGCCGGGACGAAGGCTCCTTGCAGGAACACAGGGCACGAAGCAGCCCCGCTCGCTGCCCGGGCACCGCGTACCCACACGTCCCTCCCCTGCATCACCCCATTCGGACACAGGGCGCCCCGTTCTCTCGCCCGGGTACTCACAGCTGTGGAGAGGCGAGATGCCAGCGTCATCTCCAGGTTCCCCTTGAGGCCCAGCAGCGCGGGCACCAGGATGAACACCTCCGTCACGTACTTGAAGACGTCCCAGTGCTGCGAGGTGACAAAGCAAGAGAATGGCAACGCGCACGCGGTCGCCAGCGCCTCTGCTCGGAGCCGCGTGCGTTTACCTCGCCCCTTTTGCGACCTGGCCCTGGACAAATTGCCCAATTCCACTTCCAGCCCGAGCACCACACTTGGAGCTTTCCTGCATTCTTGTTGGTTTTGATGGCCAAAGCAGGGAGCAATGAGGAAACTTGGCTCGACGTTGGCACTTTTTGGCAGCAGGGAGCATTGAAGCGCCACCAGTCTCAGCCGCCAGCCATTCCCTATGTGTGTTTTCCAGAACAAAGCCATGTGGATGTCCCTGGCTCCCTGCCCTGGTACCTACAGGCTCAGCCGCCTACTGCCTATTCCTCGAGCCCAGGTGAATCCCTGGGCGCGAGGCAGGATGGAGCCGCAGTCATTTAGGAAGGAAACGGGGAGCAGTCGCGAGCGAGCAGCCCCGCGGCAACGCTGCAGCTCCAGGGAAAACGCAGCGCCGAAAACGCCACGGGCACAAGAACCTCCCGGGCCAACTCCTTGTTTTGGGGGAAGTTCTGCAGGAAGGAGCTGTGTCCAGAATAATTCCTCTGCTTCCGCGCTCTGCTCAGCACCGGCCGCGCAGCCACCAGGCCCTGCGTTTCTCTGTGGGATATCGGCGGATATCGGCCAGCCCTGCGGAGCAAACAGAGCTCGTTCTACCTGCGTGACCAACACCTTCCTGTGGGGAAGGACTTGGGTTATTCGTGTTTGTTTTTCCACTCCTTGCTGCGTTTGCATCAGCCGGGGCTGGCTCCCTTGCAACACGGAGCTCCAACTGCGCTCGCTGCGGAGAAAAGGGCTCCACAAGGACAGAACGGGACCGTTTTTCCCCTCGGAGGAAAAAGCTCCTTGCTCTCCACCAAAGAGCCCTCTCCAGCAGCGGGGATGAATGTCTAGGATGGCACTGGCCCCACGCAGAGCTCACCCGGCTCCAGGGAGCCTCTCGCACCGGGAAAGGAGCCGGCTCTCCGGGAATGCCAAACACGCAGCACGGAGGGACGCTGGATCCCAGTGGCCGCTGCTGGCGGGAAGAGGAGGCCGGAGCAGCCCTGCCCTCTCAAGCATTTGCTTGGACGCCGCAGCACATCAGGCTGGGCTTCCTTTAAGGTCACATCCAGGAGCTGCGCTCGCCTCTATTTTTAGGCCGCCCTTGCAGGCACGCTGGTTATTCTGCCGCTGCTGGGTCCTTAACAGGATCCGGAGCTCGATCCGGACGGGACGGGCGAGGGGCTGCTCGAGCCGCGCTCTGCCCAAGAGAGGGGCTCGAGGCAGCGCTAGGCTGTAGCCAGCGCTATCCCGCAGCCCAGCTCCCCCGGGCTGTGCGTTAGCCCCTGCAGGAGCCCGCAGCGCCCGGCGGGACGGCGCCCGGAGCTGCTGCAGCCGGAGCCCGCGGCGGCACCCCGAGCAGGACGGGGCTGCTCCTCGCCGAGGGGAAGGGAAAGGAGGGGGTGTCGGGCAGGGAAAGGAGGGGAAGGGGGTCTCTGCAGACAGCAGCAGCTCGCTCACGGCCTGCAGCGGCACCCGCGGGCTCCGCGCAGCTTTCTTAACAGCAGGCGCTACAGAAGGCGGCTGTGAGGCCGCTATGCTCGCCCCCAAGGGCTCCCGGATCCCCTCCCGGCAGGACATCAGCAAAGGGAAGGCCGCGGGGCAGCGCGGGCTGCTCTCGAGGAAGGGAGAGGGCAGCAGCCCCAGGGCAAGCCAAGCGGAGAGGCTCCTCCTTGGCGTGAAATATCCTCTGCTCCAGCCAGAGAGCAGCCAGGGCTGGGAGGAATCGCCCAGGGCTCTGCCCGGAGCGGGGCTGCTGCCAGCGCCCCTCTCTTGGGCACTATAAAGCAGAGGGACGGCCAGGTGTCACCTCTGTCTCTCCAACCTCCAAGGCAGTAGAGGCAAATGTCCCTCCCGGGAAGCAAATTCACGGATACGCTAACGGCACAGCAAGGCACACGGCCAGAGCTGCTCGTTTCCACAGCGGGAGGCCAATTAGAGCTGGCAGGTTAGTCAGGATTGCTCAAAATGGGGAAATCGGGTGTACGGAGCCCTCCATGCAGCACAAACCCGGCTGTGCCCGTGGCCACGGGACTCCCGTCGCCCCCTTGCACCGTCCCGCTTCGCTCCAAGGCTTTGAGCTCTGGGAAGCCCCTTGTCTCGAGACTCCACAGCCTCAGGCTTCCCTTCCCCCTTCCTTGCCACCCTACGGAATTAGCTGCCCGGTGTAATCCCAAGGCTAAAGGAGCTAGAGGAGCTGGTGGGACACACTGCGCAGCTACACAGAGGAATTAAGAAGTTTTAATTCTAATGGCCATAAGGAAGAAGGAGGAGAAGGCGGCAGGACAGCCCAGCACCTTCCGTGGCCGTGGGAGCCAGCGTGGAGCTGCAACAGGGACGGGAAGGGACCCGGTGGGACCCGGCTCTCGCTACCCTCGCGTTAAGGACGTCCCTCAAAGAGCTGCCGCTTCCCCCTCGGCTCTGTGGAAGGCTGCTCGCCAAGCAGCTCTTCAAAAATGGATCTTGTTCCAAAAATGCTAACGTTGCACCCAAATCCGCCTGGTTTTAAGGCATCCTCTGGACGGGGCCAAGTGTCTGCGGCAGCTCCCTGTTAGCCCAGTGCCTCCTGGCTGCTGCAAGAGCACAGGAAGGCAGCAGAGCCCCGAGCTCCACAGTGTCCTGCGTCCAGGACACCAGGGAATCCCTAACCGGGCGGGCTGGGACAAGGGAAGGGCGCCGGGACGGTGCCCAGGCAGCACAGGGGACACAGGGCCGCGGGCACCGGGGCTGCCAAGGGCAGAGCCTTTTGCTCGAGGCCCCGTGCCCGGGCGGTCCCACGGCGCAGGCGGCAGCGCCGGCTGCAGCTGCTGCCTCCTCCTTCGAGCAGGGCCCCGGGAGCCGCTTCCCGCGGCCCGGGCGGTTCCACGTGGCCGAGGACATCGGAGCAGGTGGGACAAGCGGTTCCCTGGCGTCTCCCACCTCCTCATCTCCCAGCACCCGACTCGCCTTCCCTCTCTGGCTGCTCAACCAGCTCTGCCGCCCGAGTGCCCCTCGGCCAGCTCGGGATCGAGCTGTGACCTAAAGCAAGGGAATTCCGAGCCCAGCCCCATCCCAGGGAGGTCTCCCCGTCCTACCTGCACGATGTCCAGCACCATCCCAGCAGCGACTGTCCCGAAGCCCGCCAGGAGGAAAGGGAAGAGGACCTGGAGGCCGATGGAGAAGGAAGTCTCTTTGAGCGGCGAGGCGGGCTCGGGGCCGCGGTCCGTGCTGGTGTCGTCGCTCTCGTTGCTCTGGCTGCCGCTCTCCAGCAGCGCGTCCTCCTCGCGCAGCCCCTTGCCGCCGGCGCGGGGCTCGAGCAGCAGCAGCTCGGCGCGCTCGCCCTCGGGCTGCGCGCGGGCCGGGCCGGGCCCCGCGCCCTGCGGCGGCTCCCGCTGCTCCGCCGGGGCTGCCATGGGGCCGCTGCGGGGCCGCGCGGGCGCTAGAGGCGGCGGCGGCAGCGCCGCGGGGCCGCCCGCGAGCCGCTCCGCGCCGGGGCTGCTCCCGCGGCGCCGATCCCCATCCAGCAGCGCCGGGAGCGCCCCGCGCCCGCGCCTAGGGCAGCGGCCCGGGCCGCATCCCGGCTCCGCCGCGGGCTGGGAAACGAGCCAGGCGAGGGCTGAGCGGGCGCCTAAAGGAGCGCGCTCGGGATCCAGGGAAGCGCTCCCTCCTCCCAGGCGCGGCGGCCGGTCCCGGCGCCGCTTCCCTCCGCAGGGTTCCCGCTGGGAAGCGCTGCGGGACCCCGCGCTGCGGCAGCTCCGCGCTGGCTGCCAGCAGAGGAGCAGCTCCCGGCCGCTCCAAGGGCCGGCGCCGCCTCTTCCTCCGCCCCCCGCTCCTCCTCTTCCCGGAGGGAATCTCCCCCGTGCCGCACGCGCCGCCGGCCGCCCCTATTTAAGGCGCCGGGAGGCTTCCCGGGGAGCGCAGGGCCGCGCTCCGCCTGCGCGGCCCGGGGCGGAGCGGGGCCTGTGGCGGGCCGGGCCGGGCCGCCCGCCGCCCGCGAGCGCTGGAGCGGAGCCGCGGCCGGACCCTGTGGCCCGCTCCGCTCCGGCCCGTTCCGTTCCGTGCCGGACCAGGCCGGGCCGCCGGGGGCGGGGCCACGCCTCCCTGACATCACCGCCCGCCAATCGCGGCCCGCTCCCGGCCGCCGGCGGTGCTGCCGTTGGACGAGCGCGCGTGGCGTCACGCTGGGGGGCGGGGCTTGGGGTCCTGGGGCGCGCGGTGGGACCCGGAACAGGGGCTGGATCTGGGACTGGGAGCAGGATCCGGGCAGGGATCTGGGAGCAGGATTTGGAGTCTGGATCTAGGACTGGGAGAATGATCTGGGGTCTGGGAAGGGGATGTGGGCAGGAATCTGGAGTCTGGATCCGGGACTGGATCCTGGGCTGGGATCTGCAGTCTGCAATTTGATTCTGGAAGCTGGACCTGCGGTCTGGATGTGGGCCTGGGAGCGGGATCTGGGCCTGGATTCCAGATGCGGGGCTCGGAAGTAGCCCTGGGATGGGGGTCCGGTCCAGATCCCCATCGAGGAGAGGGGCGGGAGGAAGGACAGGGGCCAGCAGCCATCCGTGCGAACGGGCGTCCAACGGGGCTGGAGACTGTGGGACCATCGGGAAGGGCAGCCGGAGCCCCTTCCTGGTGAAGCTTCTTGGGATTCCCTGGTCAAGCTGGACAATGGAGCAAATTGCTGCCACCAGTGAAAACCGAGGCACTGAAACCTTGGGAAGCTCCATCCCGAGGGTTCCCTGCTTGGGCAAGATGACAGCAGCGGAAATGCAGGGAGCGCGGCTGCTCCCATTGGGAAGGAGCTCCTGCTCCGGAGCTTAAAAGGAGTGTGAAACGGCAGCCTTGGGAGCGAATGAGTGTGAAACAGCGCTGCTTGGCAGGACTCAGCCTTTCCCAAGAAAAGCAGCTTTTCTGCTTCACATTTCGGTTTTATTTCCTTTTTTTTTTTTTCTTCTCCCCCTTTTTTTTTAAACGCGAAAGGAACTTTTGAGCAGTTGCTGCTTTTCCTTCCCTCCTTCCCACAAGTGAGGGCCGGGCCGGGCGGCGATCCCTGCTCTCCGCCTCGGAGCCGGGCTCACATCCGTAACGCGCTCCGTGACACGGGCACGTGTGCGAGGGGAAGAGGGAGGGCGGCACCGGAACCACCGCGCGTGACTCCAGCTGCTGAGCTCATTCCTTAAAAATAAGGACACGGTGGGAGCCGCGGCCAGCGGCACCGAGAGACCGCGGCGATTCCGGCCCTACGGAACGCCTGCCCTGCTGCCTAATTCCCTTCCCTTGTAAATTCAGTATACGGATATCGGGAGTTTTCCTTCCTGACATTTCTGTTGCTTTGGAAGGAAAGGCTGACCGTGAAAGCAGGACAAGATACACATGCGTTTAAAGCCCTGAGGTTTTCTTTCTCAGTCTCACCACATCTGCACATAGTTCTCTTCTAAGAAACCTGAATTTCGGGAGCAGATAACTGCCATCCACACAACCTACAGCTGGTTTTGTGCCTATCTGGCCGTACACGGACTGCTGAACGCAGTATTTGGGAGGCTGAGGACCGTTTGCAGTTGCATTTGCAGCCGTTTAGCTGATTCTCGTAACGTCCTGCTGCGACGCAGTTATGGGAAAACCAAGGCACGTAATATCTGAGCTAAAGCGGCCACACGGCTCCACACGCAAGCTGGGGAGGGAGCCCAGGAGCCCCAAATCCTGCCTCCAACCTTAGCTTCCGCCTTCCTTTTGTCCAAAAAACCCGGGGCTTTTGGGCACTATTTCCGCCTTTATCTTTCCTTCCTGATTTGGAAAATCCATATCCCCCCTCGGAGCAACTGCTTCCCCGCCGCGACCGCAGCGCACACCAAGCTGTGACCTTGGTGATAGCAGCCCGGCCAGCTGCACGCGCAGGAAACGGGAGCACGAAGACAAAAGCCACCCGGGACAAGAAAGCAGAAATAGATAAAACCCCCCAGCAGCTACGTGGACGCGCGGGAAGGCCGGGGATGAAAGGCATGAATTGAGTTTCCAGTTGCAGCGTAGCAGTATTGGCAGCAACGAAGTGTTTGGAAAGGAAAGGATTTATCCGGAGCTGCCCTCGGTTGGGGAACGTTTCGCCCACGTGCTCTATGGCAGCCACGTGATTTCAGCTCCGAGGGGCTGTCACCGCGCACAGGCCAGCACGGAGCAAGGACCCTGCGGCGGCCTCTGGAGCCACAAGGTGCGGGGGACACGGGCAGCAGAATTGTCCCTGTTCACAGATAGCAGAGATGCCTAAAGATGGAGTGATTTGGCCAAAGTCACTCTGAAAACCTAACAGCGCATTGGAATCTGGTGGCCCGGGAGGCTGCAGGGCCCCAGCTTCCCTAGAGCTGGTGGTTCCCATGTCCGCTCCAGGACAAATAATTATCCACGTGGGATACACTCCATGGCTTGGATGTTGCTTCTTACACCCCCCTGCCCAGACCTTGACCCTCCTCGTAGGTAAATCCATCAGTAACGAAGAGCATTTCGCCCTTATTCCCCCGCTGTTTTAACCACCCCTCGATGTGGTCATGTTCCTTCCTGAGCCCCGGCAGCAGCTTCCTTTGGGGCCCGGCTCCGCGGCTCTTCAATGGGCCGGCGCCGCGGCCGCTGCGCCCAGCGGGTGCCTCCCTTCCCCACCACGCTGGGCCCTTCATCTCCGCCCGCCCACGGCCTCGGGAAGCCCTGGAAGCGGAAAGCGGCGCCCGGCCTCCCGCGCCGCCTTGCCGGAGCGGCACCAAAGCAATTCCCTGAGCAGCGGGTCCCGGCGGCTCCAGGTCTGGCTGCAAGTGCTGGGAGCAGCTACAAACGCTGCAGGTCACGGCAGCACGGTTGCCTCAAAGGGTTATTTGGGGAGCCTGGATTTGGGGATGAAAACAAAGCACATCTGTAAAAGCTGCAGTGCATGAGCCCCTTGTGCAGAGGGATGGAGGGTGCAAGGTTTGACCTGGTAGCAGTGACAGGAGTGGCAAAGGGTAGTGCAAGCCCTGGCTGAGGGGCCTGCACGTTACTCAGGGGATGGTCCTTGCTTGGTGGCACTAGCTGTGCCAAGGGGGGAAGATGTGATGGCACCTGCTTGAGCAAATGGACTCACCAGCACCGTGAATATCGAGCAGAGAGGAGCCAAGAACGCAAGTGTCAAACGCCAGGCGGGAGGAAACAGCTCTCTAAACACCTTGTTCCTGCATTCGCCTCCAGCTCTGCGCCTGAACTCTCCATGGTTGCTGCAGGCTCAAAATAAACACAGCCCTTTTAAGCAGAGGCCAGCAACAGAGCTTTCTTTAGAAAATGCAGGTGTGGAATGTGACCTTCTGGGCAGGGCTGAGGCCTGGGCGGCCCCACATCAGCTGCGCACTGGACTCGCTGCCCAAGCAAGTGCAGTCATGAGCGCGCTGTAGGCTGCGCTGCACGGGGCTGTGCACAGGGCACAGGGACACGGCCACACGCCGGACCTGCGCTCAGGCAAACACCATTAAAAATCCATCAGAGAGAACACGGAGCTCCACGTCTTCAGAGCGGAACACCAGGCTTTGTTTCTTCGATGAATCAGAGGCAATTGCTCCATGTGACCAGAACATGGTGACTCATTATGAAAAAGAATAAAGCAGAGCTATCGATCCGTGTTTTTTTCATGATGCACTTAGCAAGAAGTTAATCATGCAATGCAAAATCGTACAAGACAAAAAAAGCCAGTGCCTGATGCTTATAAGTATCTCCAGCACTGTGCCAGATGAGCACGACCTGGTAAGGTGTGGAAAACAAGGAGGCCACAAAGCTGCTGTGGGTACAAAGCGGGCATCGTTCTCAGAAGGGGCTGGGAAAAGCTGGGCAGAGGCAGAAGGTGCTTCCCACTGCCGGATGCCTGGGACAAGGCCTGGTGAAGGCAGCTCCATTGAGGAACGCGGGGCACTGCAGAGGGGCCCTGGCGATGCAGCACGAGTTGACAGGCAGCGTTTAGCGAGGCTCCGCGCCGAGGCGCGTCAGCAAAACCCCACGCACACGGCAGTGCAAACGTGGCAAACGCAGCTCTGCCTGGCCCGGGCCGTCTGTCCTTCACTTGCCCTTCAGCAACAAAACGAATCTGCAAATCCATCTCCTTGCAGAAATAACCCTTGCAAAAACAGAGAGATGAGTGATTGTAGATCAGGGATTGGAGATTACAAAGTATAAAGAACGTTTTGTCCTTAGGGCTCCTTTGCTATTACGGATGGCAACTCCCTCCTTCGCACCACGACAGTCTTTGCTGCACAGCAGTATGACACAAATTAGGTTTTTTGCAGTACGACACAGGATCACGGGATCGTTGAGGTTGAAAGGGGCCTCTGGAGATCATCATCTTCAATCGCTCCTCTCAGGATGCTAGTGGCTTCTTTGCTGGTCACATTCAGCTCATTGCTACCAGGACCCCCAGCTCTGTTTCTGCCAAACTGCTTCCCAGTTACCAAGTCCCTAGAATAATCCCCCTGTTTGGGGTTAGAACAACCCCCTTGTTTGGAGTTATTCCTGCCCACGTGCAGGACCTGAGCCCCTGAGCAGCAGCACAAGCGGCTGGTTTAGAACTGGAAGATGTTGAACAGTATTGGCCCCAGGCAGCTGAAGTGGAAGCAAAGGCTTCAGACCCTCGGTCACCCTTGCAGAAACCAGTCCAAGGACAAACTTCCTCCCGCTTCTACTCATGGGGATGTATTTCCAGGTGCTGTACCCTGACGTGCCACTTCTGTTGCCTCTGCAACAGGAGTTCAAAGAAGAATCACACAGCAAAGAGCTGTTAATGTGCAGCCAGGAGGTTAATGATGCTAGGACGTGGAGACTGAAGGCACTAAAAGTTAAAATTTGCACACACTATTTACTATCTAACAACAAATAAACAGCATTAGTTAATTCTGTGTAGGAAGGAAACCACCAGGGATGATGCAGGATTAAAGCTGGCTGGAAAATATGTGGATTTGTTTTGATGGAAACTCTGCAACTTGCTCCAGTGAAGAACCAGGTGTGCGAATGACTTCACTGCAATTATACAGTTACATTAAAAGACTAAAAAATAATCAGAAATTAATCTGCATTTTTTTATTACCGAAAATTACAATCTATTTTCAATTATTTAGTCACTTGAAACAGCTCAAGCCCACCGGCTGTACTGTTAAAATCAGAGTGCAAATAAATACAGAACGGTGAAAGACTAGAAATCACAGTTCCATCCCCTTTTCAAGAGACATTTCAGGGTATTTCATGTACATTTTACAATGTGTGCACAGATCAGAAAAACCACCGACTCCAGCACATAATTCACACTCTGAAAAAGGAACAAGCATCTCTGGAACAGTGCAACAGGAGGATACTTGGTGGGTTCCCATAGCACAGAGAATCCACGTCAGTGCAACCAAGTGTTTCTCATCCTTGTCTGTACTTTGGCTAACAGCTGATTCTTAATTCCTTCCTTGTTTAATTAATAACTAGGCCAAAAGACAAGTGCTTAATTAGTGTTAAAGAGCTAGTCATGCTAGCGCAGGAAGTGCAAGAGCAGATGGGACAGGGTCAATGTCTATGGCCTGTTCACATTCGGATTCCCAAAAAGCTAAATCAAGAAAAAAAAAGGGGCCAGGGTAAAGTGAGAAGTGCTAGTGAGGCCAGGAGGGAACAGAGGAGGCTCCCTGCTCCCACTGAGCTGGGAGAACCTGGAAGGCGTCACCATTCTTTGGAATCAAAAAGAGGATAAAACAGAAATCCATGCTACACAGAAACTGATTCAGTGCAGAAAATATATAGGAGCAGACAATACTGATGGAGTTTCCTATTTAAAACTGCAGTTCCTTGGTCTGACACGCAGCTGCACAAAATATTCTGGGTCTTATTAAAGAAAGAACAAGGGGGGAAAGTCACTGAAAAGAGAAAATAGGTTAACGGCAGATTTAGCACCTTTGAAATCAGGGCAACATCAGAGTTAAAGCAATATGACCAGTCCTGCTGGAGCCCAGGGTTTTAAACTGGAGTTAAAAATCAGTGCATGAATTAGCAGTACCTAAATAACACTGACACTGGTTGAAAGCAGCATTTGGGAAAAAAGCCCGTCCAAAGCAGCAGTGCAGCAGGCCCAGCCCCGTGCTGCCCAAGCCCACCAAACCAGCACCATGCTGAAGACCTCCCACACAAGCTTCTGTTAGTGATATTCCTTGTGAAAAATCAGATTTTCCGTATAGGAGGGGTTCGTAAAAAGCACACATGGTGAGGTTAGCTCTTTTACAGATGGATGAGTGGCTGAGAATTACAGCTGAGATTTGTAAGTGACTACCAATTTGAAAGGCTTCAGGATTTCAGGAAAAGTGTGAAAAAGATGTAGTATCATCAGATTGGTGTCTGCATGAGGACAGAGAAGAACAGAAATCAGGGTTTTTTGTTGTGGTTGTCCAGATTCTTATCACCCTCCAGCAAACTACGGAACTGAATCAAAAGCAACAACCAGCAGTTTTTCCATCTGAAAGTAAACCATGATTTCCAATAATCACATTGCAGGCACAGCTCATATGACCACCGCAACCTACAGGCAGACCCCTGCCACGCCAGCATCCCCCTCGGTAGCTGCTCCTCGCCGGTGCCCTCACAGCTCATGGGAGTTGGCGTGAGGCTCCGGCAGCTTTTCAATATCACAGTTCTGAATCAGGTGAAAGAGAAACTCCACCTGTTTTTCATAACCCTCCACAGAGATTCTCTCATTCAACCCATGGATCCTGGTGGAAAGAGAAGGACAGTTTTCATTGCAGTATGCATTTGCTTGTGATTCACCTGCATTTATCCAATATCCTATCTGCCTGCTTACTTCACAGCACAAAATTCAACATAAAAAGACCACAACATGATCTCTAACCATGCAATGCCTGCCCCTCAGGACAGTCCAAATCATTTACCAATTCAAGACTTCAGGCATGGTGACTAATCCTCAGATTAGGTGAAAAATATCAACAGGGATTTCACTCCTCTGCCCAGTCTGCGGCCATTTTTGCCCTGTACAGTTACCAGAGCACTCAACTCCCACATCATCTGCACCTCAATAAAATGACAAATCCATGGCATTGAATACAATCGATTTCCTTGCATGGTAACATTCTCGGTGGTCATTTTAAACCAGGAAATGTAACCTCCTACATTAAGGAGCTAATGAATTGGGAGCAGCACGTGTGCCAGACACCAGAACAGCCTTTTCTGAAATGCAGCACCAGATACAGCATCCAGTCAGACTGACACTGTTGTACAAATCCCGCTGCACTATGGGATGGGGACACCTCAACGATGCCCTGTCTGCATCTGAAGCACATGAAGAACACGAACTAATGCTTTCCCCATGTAATTATCATCCTCTACTTGCGCAGCACCCAAATCTGCAGGAAATGGGTGGCCTACAAGAATGTGAGGCAACAACAAGGCCATGCCAAGGTACACAAGGCTGGGTTTCCTCCTCCTGCCTAACACGTATCAATTTTCTGTCTCTAGTCCCCACCCCAAACAGCTGCCCCCATGCAGAGACAATGCAGTACCTGGGAAGATCATCTGATTTCAAGAGCACTGGGTTAAATCGATAAATGGCATTTGTGACGTTCGTGAAATGCCTGCTGTCTGTGTTTCCAACACACGTGCCTGGAAAATAAACCTCAGGTTTACTTTGCATGAGAGCAGCAAATTAATGAGCCACACTTTTCCTAGGAGAAAGAAAAGGCACCTGATAACAGTTTTATATGACCCCTACCTACAACAAAAGTCAAATCACTGGAAACAGTCTATGCTACATCCTGAGAGAAGAAAATTCTCTTTAGCCACAAAACTGCACACCCAGCTCAGCTGCTTTAAAGACAGCTATGATACCTCATATCCACACAAGCTTAAGTTTCAAATTGCAGCCCAAACTGTAAAGAAGTAGCAAGGAACTGCTGGCAAGAGAAGGGGCTGGAATCATAAGGAAGGATACAGAAGAGCAGGAATGGCTTTAACAGTTAGGAAAACACTACAAGAAGAGCTAAAGCGAGAAGACCACCTCCTCCCTCCCAATTCCTCTCTTCCCTGAAGGGATCCCTTTGTATGTGCAGAGTCCAAGTCAAGGCTCATTGTTTCTGTCTGTTTCCTGTTTGCTTTTTAACTTCCACTACTAAAAAAAAACAACATTAAGAAGTCTAAGAACAGAAAGAGGGAACCAAATTGAAAAGGAAAAAACAGCTGTTTCCAGTAGTTTCCAGCTGGGGTGGAGAAATACACAAGAAAAAGAAAACAAAGCAATAGGGGAGGGGGGAAAGAGGAAGCAGGGTGGAAGCTGGAAAGGAAACAATAATCATCACGTGCTTTTTGTTACCTGGGACCACACTGTCAACATTTGGGAAAATATCCAGGATGGTTCTTTGAAAAACATGGACTCCAAATGCCTGATCATCCCAAGGGCTGATGGGGAGCGGGTCAAAGGCCTCTATTACATCAATCTTCACTCTGTCATCAGCAATAGTGTTTCTAACTGTCTCTAGTACCTATGGGTTAACCACAAAGATTAAATAAGCAACAGAAATGAGCCAATGTCCCTTGCAGATGCCAGCATATGATCCAATTTCCAGGAAAGGTTTGTCAGTGAACTCACAACTGCGGTTCCAAATACACATGTGTATTTAGAACTGGAACTGAATGACAAACTGTCTTCCTCTTACTCACTGGATGACTGATATGAAAGCTAACATTTTGTTTTTCATTGCTAATCTGATACATATCATTGCCTCTAGCTCTTCCTGAACTGCTTCAGCCATGAAGGGCATGTGGCCAAGCTGCTGCTGCTGCACGGCAGCTGGGTCATCCAAGAAAACAAGCTGGGTCATCCCAGAACCCGGAAAAAGCTTCTAGAAAGATAAACTTTCAAAGGTTTGGGAAGGGAATATATTATTTAATGATAATTTTTCACCACTGTCCTTTGCTGGACAGTTTGTTACACCCACGCGATTGCACCAGACCGTTTCCTTCTCACAGGTCACAAGCTTTAACGCTTCCATCCCACAGTCACACACAATCCATGCGCTCCACGGCACAGGAATGACGGCTGTAACTGCAGGGCACGCCTCCAGATTTGGGCTGCTTCTCACTCTGTTCCATATTCAGAAGGTATTTGAGATTTAAACAGTTTCCAAGACGGTGGTGCTGAATAAACACTATTCCACTGGTAAATAAATCAACCTTGCTCACTTGCAAGTTCCTTCTAACAACAGCCAATACAGGCACCCAAAATTAAAGCAAACCACCCACCGAAGTGTGAAGAACTACCCTAGCTACAAACCCAGGTAGAGAAAAAGACGTAAACACGGCCTACCTTTTCCCCTCTCCTTTGAGATGAAGTATAGCCTGCACAAAGGCACAATTCCCAAATCTTCCCCCTTCCCCTCTTTGTTTAAATATGGAGAAAAGAGAGAAGAGTTTTCCAGACCTGTTGCCACAGACACCTAGTTAATCTCAGATGCAAGTGCTCAGGAAAGGATGGAAACTAAAGCAGCATCTGGAAGCAGAGAGGCACTCAGCCCGAGTACAGATACTATGTGGAAAGGTTTGGAAAAAATAAGAATAAGGGAAGCTTCCTGTCTGTAGACTAGTTATCTACTGCAAATGTATAGAAACGTAAAATATCCACAGGAGAGCAAAAAATGACCGAAGGGTCAGTACCTCAGTGGCCTTTTCTGCAGAATGGATGCGGAAGTTGGCGGTTGCTTTTGCAGAAGATGGGACAACATTGATCTACAAAAAAGGATCTAAACTTACAACCAAGTTAAAATCAGATTCAAATGCCAGCTGCAAACCCAGAAAGTGCTCAAACAAATGCAGCCCGCAGAGGCTAACGCTTCATCGTGCTCCCACTAACATAGATGGCAATGTCCTTCCCTAATCTGTGTTCAAATACTGCAAATCTCATTTATAATGCAGGTAATTATACAAAGAAATACTCATTGTTTCAAGAAAAAGGAGGTTATCTGTTATAGAAGTTTCTTGAGAAATTTTTTCTCCCTTCAGATATTCTGAGAAACTTTACCAGAGTTTTTTTTTTACACAATAGTTTACCTAATGTGTCCAAAAAATGTACTTTATCACTGTCATATTTCTTTTCCCCAAGTATGACACATCTAAGACACTTACAAACGACACTAGGGAAGAGACTTAACTCCTTCTGCAGAATGAATATCTACAGCTTTGTGAGACACCAAAGTTACATTTTAAAAAACAAAACCGAGGTGTCACTTCACTCTCGACCACTTAGTGTCACTGTTCAGCCACTGTAACTTCCCTTCCTGTTCAAGGACACTTTTTAGTAACAGATTTTGTTTCAGGGAACATAAAATAGCCATACTTGTAACACAGCAAATGTTCTGTCTTGTCCATCCTAAACCATAAACCATTTGTTATCCTGGTTTACAGGCACCTCTGAGACAGGGAGCAGTTACTTTGGAAATGAAGCAACTTTCAATTGCAGCTAAACGCAAGTCGTATACAAAATAAAAGTGATACTGGTACTAGTGGCACAAAGGATCATGCCACAAATGATGTTATATCACATGGAAAAAAAAAAATCAAAATGAAGCTACCTTGACGCCCGCGTTAAACATTGTGACTGCTGTAGTAGTTCGAATCAAAGCATTGGTGGAAGGTGTCCAGGAAAGAATTCTTGAGAAAAAAAAGAGGGAAAAAAACCCTAATTTCAAAGAAGTTTAACAGCTACAAAACAAGAACAACGACTAAACAGGCAAAAAGCTGAACAAAAGGTCTATTCAATTAATAAAGCACATACTAACTGTAAAGCACTGACTGTCTAAACTACAAAATGGGATAACTGTTTCCCCTGGAAAACTAGAAATGGCTAGTGGCCCTCATCCTTTAAGGGCGAGAAGGCAGGAATGCTTAGGGCAGATATATTTTCTTACCTGCTGACAATAGGTGAAAACAGCCATAGATTGGACATGACAAGATTGAGAGGAAAACTGAACTAAATGGAAGAAACAAAAGCACAAATCAGTAAGTACCCAGCTCTCAAAAGGAGAGAGACCATTTTGCTATGGCCGAAATGAGGTCAACAGGAACACTTCCCTCCGTGGAAAATGCCAGCTAAATGCCAGCTAAAGTCTTCTCCTTTCTCGTAAATTATTTCAACAGGAAATCCATAAATATGTTGTTATGGAATTACATTTTTTTCCTTACCTCTGAAGCAAGGTGCTCCATAGTCAGGAGTTCAGGCCCATAGCCAAACATATTGGGCATGGGATTCTGCTCCAGCCTGCAGCAAAGCAAACGCACATCAAAATTAGGAAAAAATAATGGGCTACTATTGCTCCAAAACTAATGGGAATTTGCTTTTTGACCGTGGAATCTATTTGAGATGGAACCACACTTTTTCTCCTGACAAATAAACCTGTAAGCTCAGCTGCACTGGAGATTTCTGATCATTTCACTCGCATCTAAAGATTTTTTTTCAGGAACAGCAGAAAAAAAGTGCGAAAGTCTGACTCTTACAGCAGATACAAGAAATACACAAAAATAGTACACTAAATCTGTCATAACTGCCCTCTAAGTTAACGTAAAATAGATATTTACTAAACAGCTTGGTATCTACTCAAACAGGTAAGGAGAAGATACTGGGATGCAACATCCTGGTATTGCATCATGTCTATTCACTTGGACAATTATTAGCAGGAGGTAGTGGCTACATGCAAGAATAAATACCAGGAAAATTTTGCAACCCACAAAATAATTCCGCATTAGGTATTAAGGTCAAATATGATAATGAAGGACTTGTCTGGGTTACAAGGACTTAGTAGATACTAGCAACAGTTGAAGTGGAAAGATGTTCCAGACATCTGGCAATTCTTCCTTCAGTTAGAGACCATATCTCTGCACTTCTAAATGAGCTACAAACTTCAGCTTCAAATACATACAGGGAATTTACAAAACACTCTTAATGTAAAGATTTAAAAAGTTGTAATCTATGAGATTGCTTGATACAGTGACAAGAAAGGCCTCACCTGGACATTGCTGCTGCGAGAATGCCAATGCTCGTCTCCTTAGGAGGAAAGGAGGAATGTCCTGGCTCTTTTTCCACAGTGAAGTTCAGCGTTATTGAACCCTTCTCTGTGATACCTATTCTGATCAACCATAAATAAAGGAGCGGATTAATGCGACTCAAAGGACACAGAGGTGAAAGGAACTAGTCTGCTCATTTCTAACAGATGAAACTCCATAGAACCAACTCCACAGAACCTTCTCCAAAAAAGGGATCTTCAACACAATCTTTAAACCCCTGGAGCACTGATGTCCTGGCATTTTCTCCTGGGAGCAGACTATAGCACACAATTAACATGTCTGCAACAGCAAAATGAAAAATTCTGTCTTTGTCAGCACAGCTGTGGTGGACAATAAACACCCTCTGGGGCTTCTCTGTGTACACGCTGCACCACTGCTGTATCTTAAGCATTGAAAATGGACTGCTTTTATCGTGTAATTCTGTTCCCTCTGACTTACAGAGCGACTGGCTTCTTCATTCCTGCAATGATGCCATCTAGGACACCACTTCCCTCATCTAACAAGAAGGAGAGTTTCACTCCTCTGGCTTCCAACAGAGCTGCCATCTTCTTTGCTCCTTTTCGACCAAACACCTGTGCGAATCCAAGCAGAGGAACCAGCCAGGTTAAGCCACATCAGCAGCAAGAATACTGGAAAATAACTTTATTGGTGCAGTGCCACAATGCAGAGAATGCAAAAATCCCATAATGAACAGCTACAGAACCTGTCATTAGGAGGTTCTTTCTAGCAAAATCCAGTGGTCACTGTTAAAGGACAGGAGGCAGACGAATTTACATCCACATTGAAAGATTCTCTCATCCATGACCATCAATGAGTCTTGTTTTGAATCCTGCTAATCCTTGGACACAATGGTATCTCACAGCTATGAGCAAAGATTAGTCATTTTTAAAGATGTACTAATTTTTGCTATAGACAACTCTTTGACTTTTATTTATAAACATGGCTAAACAAACCCACCTTGTCTATCTCTTTGTACCACTTTATTAGTGCCATCAATACGTGACTTACCACATGTCTCACACTGTCTCTGTCCATGTAACTGTAAGAAACACACGAGGCACCTTGTAGATAAAATGTTCAAAAATAGGCCTTGCTCTGTACATGGACAATGCATACAACTAGCTGTTCAAATGCAAGGAAAGAGAAATACCTCTTCATCGTGTCCAATGCCAACATAGAAAGATCTGCGGGGTCTATAGTTTCTCCTTAGCAGAAATTCTAGAGCTTGCAGAATACCCTATAGAAAAGAAAATATATATTCTACTATTCCTGGGTGTCAATAAGGAGAATAAAATAGCATAAAAGAAATACGATGCATTCACAGCCCTTAAAGAGACTTTGTTCTGTTCACAGCTGAGCTTTTATTTCCCCAACTCCTACGGATGATATTCCCATTCTCTGGAAAACACACTGTTACAGTCCTGATCAATGACCCTTAAGATTTAGCATGCTATACAGTATCAGCCTACAGACAAGAGATACAGTACGGGTCTGTTCTTGCTACTGAGAAAGTCAATGACTAACTGCAGGGAAAGCATGACAGAGTTAGAATTATTCAAGGACTTTACTGTTTCTTTAAACTGTCTAAACTATATACAATTTGACTGATCTGATCAAATCCACTTAATTTCATGCGCAGTATGGGTTGTACAAAAATAGGTTATGAAGACAGAAATGTGAGAATGAGAAACGTAGTCTGTGCTCCCAAGCCTATCCCTGAATTCAAAGACAGCTTTTGACATAAAATTTAAATGTGCCATTTCACCGAGTACATCTGCTTTAAGAAATATATTCTTTTCCTAGAGATGAAAGAAAATAGAATTAAAGCTCACACAAACTATAGAAAAGCTGAGTGAACACTGCAAGCCTTGGGAATTTATCACTAATATGCTTAATTTAAAGACAGCATGAGACACAATATGTAAATCTCAAGAAAATGGATTCCACTCTGTCTTTTTTTTCAGGCTTTGTATCTCTCTGAAAGAGCAGAGCTGGTAACAAGACATACTATAGCTGAGTTTTTGTTATCCAGTGTTCCTCGTCCATAGATGAAACCTTCGCGTTCCACAGCGGAGAAGGGGGGGACATCCCAGCCATCGGGGGTCGCGGGCACAACATCCATATGTGCGAGCAGCATATAGGGCATCATGTCAGGGCGGGAGCCCTGCACGGTGAAGAGATGGCTGTATGAGCCAACGACTTCATGTTGAATGAACTTTGAAGAAAAGACAGTAGGAAAAACTGGTAAGACAAGAAAAGAGAAAATACAGTGAGAAAATCTTCAGTAATTTCCAATTTTATCGCTACCTCTTCCACAGCATAGTTTTCTATTTAACCTCAGCAGGAGCCCTGCAAATGAGGTTGACCACAATTTGCTTCAATCAGCAGATACACAGCTTTGTCCCGCAGCTTCACCAATCCATCTGCTTTTGTTTAAGACTTTCCTGAGCACAGATGGGAAATGCTGTTCCCAGCGCTGCTGCTGTTTTGCAGGTAGCAATGGGGCTGCCCAAAGAAAAGGCTGACATGGGGTTGGTCTTCCTCTTTTTCTATATTTTTGCAATGATGAGGACATTTAATCCTCTCAAAGACCATAAATGATCACTGCAAAGAAAAACCTTCTCTGTCCTAAGCTTTGGCCATTGCTACTCCCAACCACACTGAGAAATGCCATTTAACCAGTTCTTCTTAAAAGTAAAATAAAATTCTATTTTAGTCAAGAACCACACATTGCTCAATTTGCTTGTTAAAATAAAACTAAGCAGCAGAGAGAGCCAAAAACTGAAGTTTACTTAATACCTTCCTTAATATAATTCCCAAACTCTGCCATGGCAGTTGTATTTAATTCCTCTGGAGATACGGAAACGGTTGGGATTCTAACAGCACCTTTAATAAAGCACAAAATGGAAGTCATTCAGCAGTGAAATCACTCACACAGCGTTTGAAAGGCATTTCAGAAGGGCGAAAAGGGAAGGTTTCCAGGACGGACATCGCTCTTTTGAGGGATGGGGAGTTGTGCCAGGACCAAGAGCACTTCAGCTGAGCTGCGTGGACTCTGATACCTGCTCTGGGTGGGTTTTAGATACAATGAGCAGCCTGGTGGCAACATAAGCTCTTTTGACGACAGCGCCCAGCGCAAATACCAATTTATCCGGGGCATATTTGCGTTTTCTCCTCCTAAAAGCGCAGGTATTGGGGCAGATTTTGTGCCGGGCACCCTCCAGATCCCCCCGTGCCCCGGGTCGGCACAGGCCGCCCCGCGGGCCCCCTCCCGTCCCGGGGGGCGCGGGGGTGCCTCGGGGGCGCGCCCAGCGGCGCGGCACGGCCGGCGCGCGCGGCCCGTAGGCGCGGAGCAGCACGGCGGCCGCCAGCGCCAGCAGCAGCAGCAGCGCGCACGGCGCCAGCGCCGCGGCCCAGGCCGCCGCCCGCCGCCTCACGCCGCCCGCCATCACGGGCGGAGCGCGCAGCCGCCCCGCTTCCCGCCCCGCCAAGCAGCGCGACGGGCGGGGGCGCCCGCCAATGGCCGCGCGCCCTCCTGCAGCGCGGCCAATGGGAGGGCTCGGTCCCGCCTTCCCTCCCCCTCGAGGCATTGTGGGAGTTGTAGTCCTGCGCTGCAGAGCGAGGCAACATGGCGGAGCGCAAAGAGTCGTAGAAAATCATAGAATCGTTAAGTTGGGAAAGACTTTCAAAATCATGTGGGAGACTATGGACTATAGTATTGTTTATTAGGGTTTAGGTTAAACCAAATGTAAAGGCCAAACTACAAAAGATATGAGATACAAAATCGCCTACGCAAACTAAAAACAGCAACCAGATAATAGCAACCGGACACTGCTTGTGCAGGCTGCAGCTACAGATAACCACCAGATGTTTTCAAGGATCAGCAGAAACGGACAAGTTATCCATATAAGGATACAGGAGTAAGRGGTCAAYTATGGGACAAGGGAGGAAGACTTTTTACTTCAGCCTCAACGACCACCGGGAGGCAGAAAAGACCCCTTAGCAACAACTGGAGCATGCGCAAAAGTAACTCCACTATTGCACAATACGGAAGCGGATGTGTATAAAGAGGGACTTTCGAACTGCTTAGCACGGCTGTTGGTGGAGCCGGGCTCCCCCGCCGTCCAGCGCTGCTTTTGCTCATATTCTACTTGCTACAATTAATAAAATTCTAATTGGATTATGATCCTTTGTGGTCGTAATTTATGACAATTCATGGGGGCTCATCCGGGATAGGAGAAAGGTGGGCTTCAGTCCTCCGGGGGGGCGACCCGCGGTATTCCGCGGCCCCGTGACTGATAGCAAACCTCAAACCTATCAACGGACCTAAATTCTAGAATAGTGAGCAAAAAGGAACCGGTAAAATCCCATAAAAATTCCGTGCACGGAAGTCCGGACGAAGACGCAGGACGCGTAAGTATGTCGCGAATTTGTTCGCGGGTTWGCCGTTYGGGYGGGATTGGGTKTCCTGGAATATAACGAATGAGAGGTTCGACATACTGAACCAAGCGAGTGTGGACCCTTAAKTACTGCGGTTCCCAACTCCCGCGAGGGATTGGGCCAGGAACAAGGGGAGCGAGTGAGTGTGTGTTTGTAGATATTCCAGAAGATGGGGGCGAAGGG